AATTTTTCAATATTAGCTAATAAATTATTGTATCTCTAGGCAAAATATTGGGTAATTATTTACTTTTCATATTTGAAGAAATAGAAATTGAATGAGGTTAGAAGCATGCATGGTTCTTGATAATACTGTCAAATGCAACACTTAAATTCAGCTCTTTAAACTTAATCTCTTTTTGTTGTTCCAATAAAATACAGTACCTCCCCTTTTTGTTCTATTAGTGTGAGTAGTAAATAACTGGAACATTTGCACAATGTAGCATGATTCCTTATTAGATAAATTCAGACAAAGGATACTAAAAATAACTTTAATAAACAATACAAATTAATTGTATTTGTCCTGTGAGATGTAAATATTTGCTATTTGTATAACACTCCGTGTGAGTTGTTTTTTTTTAAATTAAAGGTATTGATGGTTTGAGTTATTATGACAGGTTACAAATTATGTAGGTACAGACATATGATTCCAGAGATACGGTTTAGTTAGATATGCACTATTGATGTAACAAAAGCAATCATCATTGTATCTTAATCATTTGTCTTCCCCTTCCGCTCCTCACCTCCTGTCTCCCCTCATTCCCTGAACCCCTTGTATGGAGTTTGTGTTAGCTAACTACTTTATGTCAAAAATCATGATGCATGAACTTCTCTGGTTGAAAGGTCTTGCTCATTGTTTCTGGACCTAGTTTATAGTAGGCTTGGCACTTGTCAGCCATCACGGCACTTGTCGGCCATCTGTTAGAGAAGGTGAAGATGGTGAGAATCTGAGATTTTTGTATTACTTTCACTTTGAGCTCTTTGGTTTGTATTCTATGTTGCCTTAATAGTTACTTAAAATTTTCTCATCTTTATTCAGATTGGATTAATGTTATATATAATGCATTAAAACCATCATACAGTGAGCAAGGAATATGGAAGATCACAACTTGTAATATATAAAAGCTGTAAAATGCACAGATGTAGTTTTTATTATGTAACTATATCTGAAACAATTCTGGCAGTGTAATTTGATTAAAAAGTGCGTGTGCTTCATCAGCTCATATTTAAAGTAATTTCCATCAGTAGCTCTTTAAAGTATTTCTCTTTAGATATTTATTTTGTCTGAAATGAATTTCTTACTTGGGAAAAAACTTGGATTTACAAATTAAGGGCAGTTATTTTAGATTATATTTCTAAGATATTTATTTATAGCTCACACTTTATGTGTAGATTTTCATACCTCTTCTTATTTAAGGCAAGAGTAGTCTTAATGTGTTTTTAATTGTCATATTAAGTGTATTTTAAGTAATTCCAGCAATTAGTCTTATACTCTTGTGATATAATCATCATAACACAGATTGATATAAATATCCTAATTATGACTTCATAAGTAAAGAAATGAATTGCATTGTTCTGCTTTGTCAAATCTTATGGCAAATAGCATTTAAATAGTAATATCATGTAGAAAATGATCTTGAAATTTTGTAATTGATCTTGTAACTTCATATGAGATGAAATTCATGTGATGTTGAATGTCTTATCCAAGGTGCCCTGAGCCAGTTAGTACACAGGGCTCTCAGAGATTACAGGCTAGTACAGGAAAGAAAAAAATCTCACATCTGTTCTCTTCTCCAAAGAATTGCCATTAACCAAATCTTCAGCAGTTTCACCTTCAGGAGCTACAGGCTAATCTCATTTTGTGCACAGACTTTGGTCTATTATATGATTAAAGGTAATTTGGTGGAATGTAGCATTGACTTTTGTGATTTACAGTTTTCACATTAGATCGCATTAAAACTAATTGACAGATGATAAGACCTTACCATTTATTGCTTCTCTCTTGAACTTTATTTATTCATCTTCCATTGTGCTGAGAGCTTTTGTTTCATATAATAATTCACTTGAAATTGTACCTGAGCATTTACTTCCAAGAAACCTTACTTCCTAAAACAGTGCATCTTAGGAGTCATCCTAGAAATGAGCAGCTGATTTCCAATTGGAAAGGAGAATCTCAACACTAAATACAAGCCAAGAATTGACAGCTATTTTGCAATGTAATTGCTAGGGCTTCATTCATAGAGGAAAGGAATGTGCTATATTAAATGATGAGTATTTTGACAATGTAATGCTGCACACATTTAAGATAAATGGGAGAGACAGCAGTTATAAGAACATTAGAATAGAACAGGATAGCTGTTTCTAAATGCCGATGATCAATTTACATGAGAATAATAGATCTTTTAATCAACCATGTACAACAACTTATGAAACTCAGAACAAGCCTGTAACATTTTTAAAGAGCCTCATCTCCTGCTTTGAGAGTGTAAACATAGTTTAATATTGGACATAAGGCATAAATAGTACAAATTCTTAAGTCAAAACAAAAGATGGAGCCTACGATAATAGAGATGTAAACAAAGTATGGAAGAGGAAGAGACAAAGTTTCAATAAAATTATTAGTGCATGTTTGCAGCATGTAACTATTACATATGTATTATCATACAAACACATTTTTCTTTTCAAAAATTATTTTTGTGAACTTTTTGTAAATATGAGAAAGTGAACATCCCAAATACATTGAATACAACAATTTTTGTTTACAAATCATTATTTTGCTTATCAATTTGCAATACATAAGTATATATTACATGTGACTAAACTTTAAATATTCTTTCTTAGAACAATATCAAATCTCAATAATAGTTCAGTATAAAGAGCAGTTAAATATCATATGGTTTCTCTTATATGAGAAAAGGCCTGGTCAGGATATCTCTACAGACTAACCCCCATGATGAATGTAATCATAATATATTGCAAACATATTCTAATGAAAATATTTTAAAACCTAAAGAGCACTTACATTCTGCAAATGGATATATAAGGGTGCTGAGTAGGACAGAATGCTATTGCAATCAAACATTAAAATCCAAACATCCTCACCCAAATTCCTATGATGTGGGTAGTGACTAAAGACGGAGTGATCACTTGCAGCAGAGCCAAGGCCAGCCTGAAGAACACAGAGCGCCTGAGGCAAGTCACTTCACTAAGCAGCTCTGCTCTCAAGAACACTGGGTGCCTGAGACATGGCACATGGAGAAACTATGAGGCAGAGGTTCACATGAGACTCCAGCTCCCAAGTGGATAAATAAACGTGCTGCAGCTGTTGGCACTCCCGCTCCTTACACCCTTCTTTTTTCTGACTGGCAGAGAGGGCTTCCTGTGGCCTCAGGTTCCTGTATTCTGACTTTGGTTCTCTTTTCTCCATTCTCTGGTTAGATGTGTGTCCCCATCAATCAAAATAGACGAGAATGAAGTAAAAGCAGTAGGATGAATTAATCAGTCCATACTTTATAATGAAAGCACTGTGCACTTTAAAAGAATTTTGTAAATGAATAATAAAGATCTGTATTAGTATATTTTGATAATTTCTACTTTTTTAGCTAAACAAATGGTAATAAATTTTCACCATACTGCTGAGAAATTTTCCTGACCGTGTGAATAACATTGTGCTGAACAAGTTGCTACCCTAGCTTGTGGTTTAACCTGTGTTCAAAAGCTCTCTACTTTTTCACAATCTTTTAGCACCCCATGTTTAAAGCTCAATTTCGGGAAAGTTTATGCTTGCTTTCAACATTTTCAGAGACTTCTGTCTTTTGTTGTGATTTGTATTCCAGCTCTCATCTCCTTTATATGGATTGTTCTTCCTTTTCCTTATTTTTGTGTTGTGTCATCAACATGGAATGAGAGTGTATCAGGAAGCTGTGGGACAGAATATTCATGTTCATAGCAAGTGTGCAGCCCTGCTCCTCCCTGAAACAGGCCTGCACCTGAGACATAAGCAGCAAGCCCCAGATGGGACTCGGCTTTGATCTTACTAGGGCTCCCTCCTCCCTACTGACCCAGCTGCGCACAGAACAGGCCCAGTTAATGACTGCACTTGGTGTTCCTGTAAGGAAAGGGGAAAAAAGAGGACAAAGGGTCAAATGGTTAGAAATTTAATCTCATTTGATGCACACTAGAAAGTTCTTGTATTACACAATTTGGGAGTTTTCAATTTTATTTCTTGCTTGCTTGCTTTTTTTTTCTTTTCTTTTTTTATAGTAGTAGTTTAACATTGATGCCAATTACCTTAAGCTAAATATCATGTAATTTTACAATATACTAGTGACTGTGGGAGGCTCTGTTGTATAAGAAATCATGTATTTCATAAAGATATCTAGCTTAATTGAGTTAAGTATTTTACTATTCCTAGGGGAAAAATAAAGACAAAATCAAACTCAGAAGCCATCTTTACTGTTACCTATATCATCCTTTGTTCTCTTAGAACCATCGTGGAATTTATGAATAAGAAAAGTGAGCACACACTGGCAATAATTTATCCTACATAGCAAATTTTCTCTTAGCACAACAGTTAATTCAGGGTGTGATATATGGATAAAAATGAATAAGTTAATAAATAAAATTGGAGAGTGAAATGTTACTCTGACTCTGCTTTAAAACTTACATTTTCAATAATGACTGTACTTTGAAGAGAAAGACTGAAATATGAAGAAGAAAGACAGTCATAGTTTTTAAATGTCATTTTCATGATTGGGTGACTATTTCTCTCACTGACTGAAGAAGCTTCTTGATAAAGCTATTATGTACTTATTTTTTAAAAAGCTGAGTGAAATACTATATTCACTCATATTCAGAAACAAGAGTTTCAAAAATTGATCATATTTTCTTCTTTAATCAAAGTTTGGAAAATAATGTCTAATATTCTCAATTCCTCTGTTTGAAGATTTTATTAAAATATAGACTATATCAAACTTTTTGAAGGACCCAAAACATTTTTATGTATATACATATATATATATATATATATATATATACACAAATATAGATCTATTTACCTAACTTTATGCACATTTTTTGGAAACTGAGTTATTGTAGCATAGAACATAATGTGTTAATGTATGCAATTAAACATTTTGATTGATTTTAATATGAAATAATAAAATGTTTAAATAAGGCATAATTTTGCTAGAAACAAGTCATTTTTTATTTTGAAATTTTGCTGTATTAAAACCATCAAAATAACTTAAACAATGACAGAATATTTTTATTTGTTTAACAATAAAGTCTATGGTTAAAGGACTTGTATAAATCATTAAGACAGGTAGTTTAATTTCATTTATGCAGGAAGTTATGAGCTATATTAGGATGTATCAAAAACAAGTACTTCCTAAAGGTGTAAGAAAAAGATGCCTTGAGAGCATCTCAAAAATCAATAAGAACCTAACCATCAAAGTTGAAAAGGGTGAACAAGCATAATACATTTATTTTAGAAGATAATGCATGATAGAATTGCTTGGGATAGCTCAAGAGAGGTTTACCACATTTTGGGGGTGTCTGAGTGGGTAGTGGAGAGGAAGCATGGCTGTGGGGACTGTGTGAGGTCTCTGGCCCCTTCCTCTATGAGTCTTTTCTCCTGCTCTGATTTCTGGTCATTATGGACTCAGGAACTTCATTGTGCAATATTCTTCTGCCATCATGCTTGTGTCTTTGAGTAAATTGGGCACAGATTGTAAACATGAATTAAATCAAAATTCTCCTTTCAGTCTTGGATATATAATATTGTGTACTAGAAGAAGAGAGCTGATAAATACAGAAAAATTGGAGCAAAAGAGGCAATCTTTTTGTGATTCTACCTAGTGAAGTTGTCTGAAAACTTTTGGAACTGGCTTATGGAAGGAAATTGGAAAGCATTGGAAACACAGATTGTAGATGTACTAAAATGCTATAAGCAAAACTTCAGGGGTGAGTCTAGTGGGAGCTCAGATCATACTGATGATGGGAATGCAGAGATGAAAAGCCAGGCTATTTAAGTTCCAAGTGTGAATGAACTATACTGGGAAATGGACTAGAGACCATGAGCTGATGTTCTGGATAAGATGCTGTTTCCAATTTGTCCAACCAATAAGACTTTTTTTAAAAACTGCGATAAAGGATAATACACTAATTATTCTAGCAAAGGAAATTGTAAAGCTGTCTAACTTCAGAGTACCCTTTAGTCTTTGTTGGCTGATTTACCAAATTTTCAAGAGAATCAGGGGCAAGAAAAACAAAACAAAACAAAATCTTATTAAGAGATTATCATCTTTAAAAAGAAAACAAGGGGCTGGGGGTTTAACTCAGCAGCATAAGCACCAGCCTTGCAAGCAGGCGGTCCTGAGTTCGATCCCTGGTACCGATAAAAAAATGAAAAGACAAAAAAAAAAAAAAAAAAAAAGAAAGAAAACAAGTACTTTCTAAAGGCATAAAAAAAGAAGACTTGAGAGCATCCCAAAAACCAGTAAAGCCCTAACCATCAAAGTAGAAAAGGTTGAACAAGAATAATACATTTATTTTAGAAGATAACGTATGGTAGAATTGCTTGGGAAAGTACACTATTAATAATGTTTCCCAAGATTTATTTTGATGTTGTCAGTTATCCAGATTCTGAGAGTTCATTGCAGTCAAGGTTTAAAGGTGTCCAGTTACTGCTCAATTTGAGAGCAGATCTTGGCATCATCCACCTGATGCTGTTTTTTTTTTTTTTTTACCAATATGCACAAATGAAGAGTTGTGGAATTAGGAAGATGTCTACCTAGATTTTAGAATAGGGCTGAGGAGGCCAAGCAAGGATCTCCTATGAGAGCAATCTGTAAAGCTGTGGGAATAAAGCAGAGAACAAGGCAGAAAGTCAGGGATGCCAGAAATATGAACCATCTAGTAAGGAAAACTAGAGGTCTGGAGTGGACACTGCTCAAGACAGAGACCAAGTGAACTGCAACTAACAAAGCCCTAGTATTAGGGCTACGTAGGCACTCTGGAACTCAAATTTCATCCTTGTTTGCCTTCAGTGCCAGCTATGATGCTATAGAACTGAATAGTTGCCCTGTTGGATATTGCTTATTGTCTTGGTTGTTTTATCATTGCTGGGATAAAATGCCCAATGCCCAAAATTTAAGGAAAGAAAAGTTTGCTGAACTCACAGTGTGTGGAAGTTTCAGTACATAATCAGCTGGCTCCAAGACAAAGTGATGTGACACAGGCAACACTTCAAGGCAGGAGAAGACAGAAAAGGCAACAATAGCAAAAGATGGATACAAGCCTCTTTTCTTCCTTATATTGTATGCAGGCTGTGCCCTGAGTTGAGTGTAGCACTCACATCATCTCTGCACCCTTCTCATGTGCAGGCTCACATGAGGACCTTGGGCCCATCCTGAATCACTTAGTTAAACTGCTAAACTTCTCAAATTGACACAATGAGCAATACCCTAGAGTCCTGAGAACATGCCCTCTGTACACTAGAGTAGAACAGCTAGTTATTTAGTTAAGCTTCTAGACTTCTCCAGTTGACACAGTATATTAACCATTCCAATCATGCTTTAACTTGATTTGATTCTAGTCACCTTTTCACTACATATGGAAGAAGAATGTTACCCCTGCACCAGTCTCCTTTAGGATTGCATTACTCCTTTTTGATTTTCACAGAAATATAAAACTAGCATTGACTAGATTTGGACTTGGACTTTTGAAAAATTCTGGAATTGTTGAGATTTGGGGGGAAAGTTGTTGCATTCCAGCTGTACACAGAATATTTGTTATTATGTAAGACAAAATTACGAACTTTCTATTGTTTTCATTTGGAAAATAAATGTGATTTAAGGAGATGTGTTTTGATGTGATTTTGACAAGGACTAGGATATGATAGCTATGGTAGAGTGTCAACCTCATTAACTTTGAGATCTGATAAGTTTTAGTTATGTACACTTCTTGTTGTGTCTGGGTGAGACGTTAACTTGGATCTATGTCCATTCCCTCATTCTTCCTCTCTGTCACTGTTCTCTTGCTCTGCATCCTGGCCACAAATATTGTCTGACTGCCTTTGCTGCATCATGCCATTCTACCATGATTAAAAAGCAGAAATGCCGCTTTGGAGTTGGCTAACCATGGACTGAGTCTCCTTAAAATATGAGCTGAATTAAACCTTCTGTTTTCCTTTAATTTGTGGGTGTCCACTATTGTTTCTAACAACTTGAATGCTCACTAATATATCCTCCTTTTGACAATTGGACAAACCAGATATAGAAGTTGGTTTGATGGGTCAAACAGATCAACAAATCAGTTCTCTGTTCTCATAGTTTAACTTTATTTCAGTTTTTAAATATATCTCTGGTGAACTGTAAATCAGGAAAAATATGGTAAAAGTAGGACACACTACAGAAAAAATATTAACATTGTATATTAACTAATATCTGACCAGATATTATACAGCTGAGCCATTAATTAGTCATACACTGGTCATGAATCCAAAGAAGATGTTTACAATGATTCACACCCTTAACATGATAAATTTTACTATTATCTAATAAATGAAACTTTTTTTAAATGAAACAATTAGAAAATAATGCCAACATTATTCTTTAATAATATGGAAACTAGCCTAAGTGAAACAGTTTTCTTTAGAAATAAGAATATAGTTAAATAAAGACAAAAACAATTAAAACATACTTTTAAAAATTCATCCATATTGGTCAGTTAGTAGGAATAATGTATTTGTCATTGTCCAGAAATTTGACTAGAGCATGAATGTTTTTTTGTGGCAGAGAAAATGGAAAAACAAACATTTTTGTAGTGTTTGAATTAGAAATTAGCATCTTTAGTGATTTACTGGTAATCAAAGCAATGTTGAGTCTGCAACATTAACAGATACCAGACAAAGGAGCTCTCTTGGTCACTTTCTTCTCACTTGAGAAAAATATCCAATGCAAAAACTTAAATGGACAGAAGTTATTTTGGCCCAGTTCCTACAGGCTTCACTCCATAGTTTCAATATTCCACAACATAAAGTGTGGTAGAGGAAGGCTGCCAAAAACAATATCCTTCCAAGTCGTGCCCTAACTCACCTCTAATTAACACCCATCTCCTAACAGAACTCATTAATGAATGAATCCACTGAGTATAGAACCTCCATGTTGCAACACCTTCCAAAAGTCACACCTCTGATACAATTGAACAAATAGTTGAGATCGGTTTGCCAATGGCTATGAAACATGATGCATAAAATGAATTTATCTGAGAGATTCAGAGAGAATCTGGATAATATTGTTTGAATCACTAAATCTATTTATTTCTGAAATTAATTGTTTCTTTTACTATTTTAGCTGTGCGAGAGAATAAATTTCAAATTTTGCCTAAATAGGGTGAAAATTCTTTTATCAGAATGGAAAGTAACATTGGTTCATAATTTACACAAGCAGAATAAACTAGAATACAAAGACATTGTATAAGAAAACAAAACTTTAATCACCCACAAGATATTGCAGGAAAATTTTTGAGGCTCCATATTTTTAGAAAACATTATAAAAACCTTACTTACAGTTAATGATTTGAGGGTTCCTTGTGTTATATTAATTGTTATTATTCAAAAACATCATATTATTTTGTGCTGATACATGTTTCCTTGTAATAGAATCAGAATTATTACTTCAATTACATGAATTTTTGACCAAAATTTCTCATATTTTATTATGTAGACCTTATATTTAGTGTCATTTTTGTGAATGTTTCCTGTTAAATTATATCTGGATGTCTTTCTCAAACCTGAAGTGCTTGCAGGTAGGGCTTGATGTTTAGCACAGTTATGGATATGAATGATCGACTTACTAAAGAGGAAAGACCCCCTCTGGGTCTGGGTGGCACCAACCTACAGGCTTGCAGCCTGGATGAACTACAAAGGGAAAGAAGAAGGAAGTCCTGCTGCTTGCTGCCTACTCTGCCAAGGACTGTTTCTCCTCTGCTATGACCATCTTTCACAGCACCCTGCATGGAGGTCAGCTGAGTATGTACTGAAACCTCAACACACTATAAGTTCAAATGAACCTTTCTTTGTTTAACTTGTAGGTATGAAATATTTCATATCAGCAACTAAGAAACATCCTGATTTCCACTTCTACATTTATTATAATATCATTTAAATGTACTTAGAATTATTCCTTTCTCAATCACAATAGCCTTTTTATTTTTCTTATCTGTCTTGTTATAGTATAGTTTTAATAACAATCAAACTTCAAGATTAAGACAAAAGAAATGTTCCCCATTACAAAAGAAACATGGACTGCATGTACAATTTATAGGACACCAAAGATTTTTCTATGGATTCGTAAAATTTAGATTTCAATAAGAAATTATTGTGTTAATACAACATGAAGGTAGCATTACTCATATGTGACACAATTATGAGGCAAAAGATATTCTCAAAGAATGTTTTTTATTAACAATTTTTTAACTTTGTTAATAATTTCCTTTCATCTTTCTTTCTTTCTTACTTTCCCGTTCTTTCTTTATTCTTTTTTCTTTCTTTCTTTCTCTCTCTCTCTTTCTCTTTCTCTCTCTCTTTCTTTCTTTCTTTCTCTCTCTCTCTCCCTCTCTCTTTCTTTCTTTCCTTCTTTCTTTTTTCCTTTCCAGAGATCAGACTCATGACCTTGCACTTCCCAGGCAGGTGCTTCCTCCACTGCCCTAAGTCCCCAGCCCATAATAATGACTCCATAAAAATGACTCTAAACAAGTTAAAAGTAAATAATATTTTTATTATTTTAAATTGTAATATATATTAATATTTTAAATTGTAATATATATAAATACTTTCACTTATTAATAGATACTTTTATTATAAAAAGAAGAAAGAAGAAGAAGAAGAAGAAGAAGAAGAAGAAGAAGAAGAAGAAAACAAGAAGAAGAAAAGAATGCTTACAAGAAATCATTTAAGAAACTTTACCTAAAAATTACACTTGTACTTTAATGTTCTAGAAATGAGAAATGAAGAGGCAATAAAAATGACCTACTTATTGAAAATAATTGAGAATCATAAAAAATATCCATAGCCATCCCTGAAAAATGCTTAGAAAGCCTAAATATCTGAAGCAAATATAAAGGGTAGAAACTTCTAACTAAGTTAATCAAATATCTCTATCAGTGTACTTCCATTTAGAGGACCTGAAAGACTTAGACAAATATGAGAGTGTACAGACTTTTAAATATACTAATCAAATATTTCTGCTATTTTATTTCCATTCTGTGATGTCATATAATTCCACTTGTTTTTACCTTTTGACAGTTACTAAGCTTATAGAAGAAATTTCACACATTATCCTTGTTACTGAATCTGTACAATGTAGTTTCATAAGAGAATTAATGGCTTAAGGGGTAATGGGTGGAAATAGAATGTTATTATTTTGTAAATGTTATGGTAAGTGAATATAATCCTGGATGTTGCCTTAAGTGCAGATTTAATATATTTTGAAAATTTTATTTATGAAAGACATGGGAAGCCATTACTCAAAATAATATATGTTAATGTATTTAATAAACTCAAAACCACTACCTAAGTATCTTCTAAGTAGGGAAATGATTTCAAGAATTAGAAAACAAGTTAAGCTAGTTATAATTGATTCAAAAACTGAAAAATATACATGATATTTGCCCATGAGAGTTATAACACTAGAGAGGAAATGATAACTGTCTCTAAACAAAATTGCTAAACGTTATATTTCCAAAGCAAAATAAAAATGTTTATGAGAGATTCAGTGAATATTCTTAGAGTACAAAATTTTGAGCTTGCCCTTAGAACATTCCTGTGGTAACAAAAGATGAGACAATACACTCAAAAAGACAGAAAAAATACAAACATTGAACATGTGAGGCATTTAAAAATAAGATGATGATTTCTATTAGAAATGGAAATATAGGTTTTGAAATTGAGTAATCATACAAAGAGCAGAAATTCCCTTTAAGTAAAGATTCATAGGGCTTGAATACCTTGCAGGAGGCAAACACGAAATTTTGCTTTATTTAGCATATCACACATACTGTATTAATACACATATGTAATATGTAGTAAGTGTTCAAATTTATTTTCCAAAACCTCAGTTAACACTTTTTCCTAACTGAGTAAGCACTTTTTTCAATTTATACTATCAAAAATGCTATATGATAACCTGAAAACTGAGCTGAAAATGTAAGTGGAAATTAAACACTGAAAAAACTTCAGGACACTATAATATACATTCTTGCATTATTTTTAATTCTGTAAAAGTTACAAAACACAAGAAATGTTTAAGCAGGAGATTTGCATAATAATTATAATCACAAGAAGTTATAGGAAAAAATATTAGGAAATGTAATGTATGAGCCAAGTAAGTTAATTCCATTTGTTATAAAGAGTGATAGGTTAGCAAATATGGTGAGTTTGTTTATAGTCATAGTTCTCAGGCCTACATGGAAATTGTTCAATAACCACATTTCATCCCAGAATCATTATATCAAAATTCTGAGAAAAGAAACAAACAGAAGATTAAAACTACTAACTTATGAAGTAATCTAACAAAATTGTCTACAAGTATTCTTTACTAACAGTGATTAGATTGTCTTTACTTTTAAGTGCAGCAGATAATGTTAATGTATTAATTGTCCAATGATCACACTTCATCCCAGAGAAGTTGTACAAAAATTCTGAGAAAAGAAACAAGCAAATGTTTAAAACTACTCTCGTGAACCAATCTAACAAATGAAATTATCTACAAGTATTCTTTACTAACACTGATTAGCACATCTTTTTTATTTTTAATGTTAATGTGCTAAACTTCAAACATAATTAGTAACCCCTTGTTTTATTAATGTCACTTCAAAATTTTCCTTAATCTATTATAATTTTTGTGTTCTTGTTCTCCTCACATTGCAGGCAGAGTGAATTCCTATGTATTCATTTGGAATATGCTTTCAAAGTGATAAGTCTAAATCTTTATTCTTCAAAAACACACAGACTAACAAGTATTTAGAGTGAGACACAAATCAGACAGTAAGTATGATATAAACATCATTTCTTGAATTTACTAAGTGCATTTCATATCAGTTAAAATGACTTAGATATCTATATTACATAACACAATGAAAATTTAATAATTATTCTCATTATGAATACAAAATTTTGTATAGATTCTAAAAATAAATTCTTTGTTTCTATATATGAAGTTGAATTAATTTTATGCAAGCTTATTATCAAATATTTTGATACTTATAAATTATACAATTTTTAAAATTTAAAAAGACTTCAAGAGACCATCATGATATACTTTCTTGCATTATATTTAATTCTATACAAGTTAATGTGACACTAGAAATGTTTAATCATGTATCACTTTGAACAAGCTTTTATTTTTTTAATAAAGAAATGGGGTAATACAGTGCTAACTCATATGGTTTTGTGAGGGAGAAGTGAGAGAATCCAATAAAGTTTTTGGCTCAGTGCTTGTCACATAATAATTGCTAAAAGTTGGGCACTATTATAACTATTTCTAACTGTTTAGAAATTAAAATTTCAGTTTTTCTTTAACTATTATAAGTAACAGAATTATCACATCTTTGTTCAAATGGTTTCTTTTTCTTGTCGTGTCAAATCCTTCCAAGAAAAAAAAGCGTTACTAGGTCAAAAGGTGTGATCCTCCTTTTGTTTTTGTGCCCTGTTGTCACATCACCCTTTAGCAAGGTGGTTCCCATTGAACAGGCTGCTGCCTGCTGTTTTGGAGATGCCCAAACTCCTGGACCCTAAGGTTGCCCTGAGGCCTCTCTAGGTGACTGGAGATGAGCAGAGCAGGGGACAGCCAGGTGGGGCCTGGTGGTGGCCAGCCTGGGCCTTTCCAAAACAGGACTTTATTAAAGTCACGTCTTCCAGGAGGCCTTTCCTGGCCGTCATTTCTGAAGGTCCAGCCTCACCTCTGACACTGCATTTCCTCTTGGTAGTCTCTTTTCATCTTCTCCTCAGGCCTGATCTAACAAGGTGGATTTGTCTTGCATATTGTCTGTGGTCTCCACAATATGATAAACACTCAAAGACAAAGATTTTATCCAGCACTGAATAGTGCCTGTCACACACTAGCACTCACTGAGCACATTTTCTAGCTGTTGAATAAATGAAAACGTTGTAAACATAAATGAGGTCAAAGTCTTAAAAGCATCCACCAGCTATGATCTCTGAGGGATTCACTCTTTTCTGGACAGCCGGGACCTGCCGCAATGTAGCCCTTGTTTCTATGAGGCCCTTTCCATTGCTAGGGACAAAATACTCCTAACTAAGTGCCATAAACCACTCACTTTATCACATTCAGAAATTGTGCAGTCAAATTTAGATTAGGACATGGTAAGGGGCTTGTGAAGATTGAAGGCTGGGGTGACTCAAATGGCTGGTGACCAGAAGCATACAGAAGTTTTTATCCAACCTCCTCCCCCAGTACCACCCTTCATACTGAGCTACATCCCTAATTTTTTCTTTTTAATTTTCAGACAGCATGTTACTAAGTTATGCAGGCTAGGCTTGAACTTAAAATTCTCCTGCCAGAGCCTCCCAGAATGCTGATGTTTCAGGCATGCACTGACATGCTCAGCTTGTATTTTTATTATTATCTGTGTCTTGGCTATTTTATTCTTCTAGGAATAAATGCTATAAAATGTGATACTGGTCATGTCTTCCCTATTTCACATTTGGTCATCTCACATTGGTAGTTTAGAAAGTCCATGATAAGAGGTTCTGTGTTTGTGTCTTTGTAGTGCTAGTGATGGAGCCCAGAGGCTCACATATGTGAGGCAAGTGCTGTACTGCTGAGCTACACTCCCAAGCCTGGTAGAAGTTTTATATCCTAGAAATGAAATGCCACATATCAGGGCCTGACTTGCAGTTTCACTAGCTGACTGCAGTCTTAAGAAAATGAGGAAGATTAATGTTAAAAATGTGCTTACTTTAAAAGTGTGTCATGTCTGCACCTGTCATGTCAGCTGCACACAAAATGAAAATGTTCTTTTCCTACCCCCAAACCATCATTATTCCATTCAGCAAAAAAGTCACTCATATCATTGAGGAACAAGTAACATACAGACATAAGTCCAGATATTTGAACTTTTCTCTTACTACTTAATCTAGAGAAAAGTATCATCCAGCACTTGTGTTGGAACTATACGAGTTTGTCAGGTGGGGGCATAGGTCAATTATGGATTCAAAAATATAAAAAGCATCCTGTGAATTGATTGGAAAGAGCACTATGTTTTTATACTTTATAAGTTGTGTGTTACATGCCTTTTACAACAGCACAATTTGTAATACACATGTGTACATGTAATACATATATATATATATATATATATATATATACATAAACAAATATGTTGGTTATTAAACATTTACTAACACACTGTTGTTAAAATCTCACACTCCATGGGTCTTGTGCTTTCAACTCAGATGTGTCGTTAACATTCAAGCTCATAGTCTCGCTGCACTTGTGTAACCTTTTGGGGCAATTCACCACTGCTCCACACTCCACACAGAGCGACTCCATGTTGGGAGGTGCTATTCCTCCTGCATGGTCTACTCATTTTGGGAGAGTGAAGGGCTGCTCTGTGTCTGTTCTCCCCCATCAGTGCAGTTGTACTGAGTGAATAAGCTCTCTAAAAACAAAAACAATACATCCTGAATGGCTATAGCTTCCTCACATCTAAAAAATGCAGACTATCCACTTGGGGCAGATAGTACATGGTCTGATTGGGGTAGGACAGGAAGTGATTCCAAGCGGCCAAAAGGAAAGTTTGAAATGCTCTGTGTACATGCTCATTATCACCCCTTGTGTGATTACAAAACTGTCTGCCATGTTATCACCATTTGCTATCCTGCCCCACTTTTATGATTTCCAGAAAATAAAAACAAATCAGAAAGTAACTGACCGCCTCAACAAACTGTCCTTGTTTACATGTCATTACAGAGTAGCTATGGAGCAAGAAACTACCAAGGTATAATCTTCTGCAAGATCCTGGTCATCACCATGATTATGATGAGCTGGGGTGATCCTAGTTAGGTCATTCTAGTTATATATTATTTTGGGAGAAATATAATATGTGATAATACTGAATACTACACTTTGTATTAAATTCATTAGCTAAAATCCAACAACTCATCACACGTGTGTTCCTTAAAACTAGAACCTATGGAGCCACTATCATCACACCCAGATGTTATACACTGAAACAAATATTTTTATCTCTAAAGGAAAATTAATGTGGAATTTTCCAGAAAGACTCAGTACTACCTAATGAAATAGAAATGATGATATGAAAGAAAAACATCCTAAAATTTCATAGCTCTCTAGGTTCAAATCCCCAGTACTTGGTTTCAGAAAAAAAGGCCTTTTTTACATGGAAAAGACCTCCCAACACTGTGAAAGGTATCAGTGTACACACGTGGCTTTAAAAGTGAAGATGTCACCAATGATTGAGAGTGCCAGGAGTTTGCCCAGATTTGATATATATATATATATATATATATATATATATATATAGCATGCTGAATGAGACAGATGGTGTATGACTATAATCCCAGCACTCTGGGCATCTGAGTTAAGGAGATCACAAGATAGACCAATTTTGTGACTTAGGAAGACACTTAGTGTGTATCTAAAAAGAATATCTGAGGATATATCTGTAGTTCACTGTGCAGGTGCAAAGTAAAAATAAGAAAAATGCAAATGTAAAAAACTAATAGATGATAAATCGATTCACAGATACTTAGATAAAATAATAAAATAACTAGCCACTGATTTACTTAGCATGATGAAAAAGTTGAGCCATAGGCTTTCTTATAGTTATTGGACCTCAAGTTATTGGACATAACTTCCTGGCAACATGACCAAGCAGAACTTGGAACCCTTGTAGAAGACATCACAATCCAGTACCGCCCACCTCCCCAGCTCATTTGCCTGGAGACACTCAGCGGAGAGGATGCTGAGTTGTTTCTCCACATCCAGAAGCCACAGCCCCAGGACCCCAGGCAGACAAAGTCTATGTCAAAAATTGAGAAAACGCCTCACACCATCCAGATGCCGCAGGCCAAAGTGCGAAAGGCGCGCAACTTTCACAGACAGCCCAGAGACGGTCTCCCCAAGACCAACCAACTGTGAACAGCCAACATCAAGGTACCCACCCCAAAAGTCTGTTGACTCAGGTACAAATGACACTCAAACCCCAAAGATTCATGGGCAAGTTTCAACAGGCCCCGAGATACTCAGCAGCTCTGGACAGGTCTCAGCAGAGCTGGCAGCAGTAAAGTCAGACAGACCCAGGTGTGAAAGGCACCCGACTTTCACAGTCAGCCCAGAGACGGTCTCCCCAAGACCAACCGACTGTGAACAGCCACCATCAAGGTACCCACCCCAAAAGTCTGTTGACTCAGGTACAAATGACACTCAAACCCCAAAGATTCATGGGCAAGTTTCAACAGGCCCCGAGATACTCAGCAGCTCTGGGCAGGTCTCAGCAGAGCTGGCAGCAGTAAAGTCAGACAGACCAAGGTGTGAAAGGCACCCAACTTTCACAGTCAGCCCAGAGACGGTCTCCCCAAGACCAACCGACTGTGAACAGCCACCATCAAGGTACCCACACCAAAAGTCTGTTGACTCAGGTAAAAATGACACTGAAACCAAAAGGATTCATGGGCAAGTTTCAACAGGCCCCAGGACACTCAGCAGCTCTGGGCAGGTCTCAGCAGAGCTGGCAGCAGTAAAGACAAACAGACCAAGGTGTCCAGAAGTAGAGACTAATGTCACAGTGTCCAATAACCACCAAACACTAAGAAACCTACAATACGACCAGCTGGGCCGAGCTATTATGGAGAGTTACTTGGCAGGGAGAGATGCCCAACTCCACACTGAACAGACAATAAAGGCAGTAAGGCCTCCCTCACCCATTAAGCCCTGTATGCCAGTTTTCCTGCATGACCAACCCTTCTCTGACCCATTCTTCCCAAGTACCTCCATGGCCTACACCACCTCCCAACAGGCCCAAGTTGTAGGTGGGGATAAGAAGACGACAAGCCTTGAGATTTTGTTTTCTTCTGAGGGCAATGAACTTCTAGACACCTGCTCATTTGGTAATAAACACCTCACGATTCATACATCATCTCCTGCACCAAAGTATACTGAGGTGTCTTGTGTATCTGAATGTACTGAAGTGCCTTGCTTACCACAAGATGGAAAGGTGATTTGCATACCAGAAGATCCTCAAGTGCCTTGGGTGCCAAAAACAACTCTGCCTCGTATGTGTTTAGATCAGAGTTCTTGGGACTGTCTGCAAAAGGATACGGAGGCTCTCCCACCATCATTTCCAGAGGCTCCTCAGGTGTTTGGGGTACAAGAACAGCCTAAGACACCTTCTCCAGAAGATAAATCCATCTGCTGTAGAGCTTCAGGACACTTGAGAAAGGTTCACCGCGCTAACGGCCACACATTTGGATCTAAAAGGTTCAGTAAGCGTGCTAATTGTGCTGTCTGCTCAGACCCCACGGGAGGATTTGGACGCAAGGCATACAAATGTATGCACTGTAAAATTTTAGTTCATAAGAAGTGCCATACACTCGTCAGAGTTCCATGCAAGCACCATACTGGTGAGGAAAATGGCAGGCCTTTGTGCTCTTCTGCTCTTAAAGACTTTGACTTTCTCCGTGTCCTCGGGAGAGGAAGCTATGGTAAAGTTTTACTAGCTCGGCATAAAACAACAGATCACCTCTATGCCATGAAAGTGGTGAGAAAGGATGATGAAAACCTTAGTCGTCTCCAGGTAGAGAAGCAAATATTGGAGAAGAGCTTGAACCACCCTTACCTGGTTGGCCTGCATTCCTGCATCGAGACACCAACCAGATTTTTCTTTATCCTGGATTACATCAGTGGAGGAGACCTAACATACCATCTGCAACAGTTCGGAATCTTTCCCGAAGCACATGTGAGATTCTACTCCGGGGAGATCTCCTTAGCTATCAAGTTTCTTCATGAACATGAGATATTACACAGGGATCTGAAGTTGGAGAACTTGTTACTAGATGCGGACGGACACATTAAAGTTACCGATTTCAACCTATGTAAGGCAGGACTGAAGGCAGGCGAGAAGACCAACAGTTTCTGTGGCACACTCAGTTATCTGGCTCCAGAAATCATCAGAGGCGAAAGCTATGGTTTCAGTGTGGACTGGTGGAATCTTGGAACAGTCATGTTCGAAATGATGGTGGGAGAGCCTCCGTATCCTTTTGCAGACAGTCCCAAGAACTCTGATCTAAACACATACAAGGTCTTGCAATCTATGTTAGAAAGAGAAGTCCACATTCCACATCACCTGTCTGTCGAAGCCAGAAGCATCCTCAAGGGTCTTCTGAAGAAGGAGCCAGAGGTAAGATTGGGCTGTCACCCTCAGAGAGGATTCATCGATATTAAAGAGCATCCATTCTTTAACAATCTGGACTGGAACATGATGGAAAAAAAGCAAGTGCCTCCTCCCTTTAAGCCAAGTATTGGTACAGAATTCAGGATAGAAAACTTTGACCCTGAATTTACCAACAAACCTGTCCAGCTCACACCTGATGACAGTTACTTTGTGAACAGCATAGATGAATTTGGGCTTTGAGTACATCAATCCCCTTTTCACATAAGAAGAATGAGTCTGAATGTCACCTTCCAGTTAAGCATCTGTTTGTATATCTAATGCATGACAAAACTTGTTACCAGCTTGCATTCAACTGACACTTTTATAATTGCCTGGAAGATCATTTTAATTTCCTTTTTCTATATGAAGATGCCCTGCTTGATTTTGGTTTTTGGTTAACAGAGTTACTTTTTATGATAAGGCTTAACGATGAGGCAATTTCTTTTTACCAAATTTGTAAACACATTCCGTTTGTTGCTTGGAGACATATTCCTGATTTTTTTATTTACTACACTGGAAAATAATATCTCATTATGCTTGTTTTGCTCCCAAACTATATGACCTATATATTTAGGCCCCTGATTTTGTAATATTCAGGGAAATCCAAAAACAATAGTAACAACTTTGAACAACTCTGCAGAAACCACATACATTGTAGTTCTGTCTCCTAGGTCAAGCTTTAACCATCTTAAAGTATTACACCATAAATATACTTTCTAATATTTAGTGGACATCAAAACAATAATGCAAAGAAAGTATTTCTCCAAATAAGGCTAAAATCCCAAAGGAGTTCTAATGTGGACTCAGTAGGAAACATTTTAAACAAATGCCCTGTGTGAGTATTTTACATTCTGAATGCCCAGTGGCAAAGAGCAGCTCTTAAAAGCAGGATCAGAAACATATTTCTGACATGTCAGAGTTCTCTGCAATTTCATGTTGTGTACACTGATTTTTGTTTTTAAGCAAGATCCGAGTACTACCAGAAACACAGATTCCTTGCAAAGGAACATGTCAATCCTTAGAAATATTTTCTTTTGATGTTTTCCTTACTTTCAAATTTAGCTATTTGATGGAATGATAAAATATGACTCCAAGCTTGGGAAAAGTTACATTTCTAATGAAATGGGGCATCCAAATAAAGAGAGAAAGATAACTTAGTAAATGCCTACACATTTTAAGTCATCCTAAATTTAAAACTGGATAGCTTGCCTAGAATTAAACATTATCAAGCTTGTGCCATTGTAACTTATTTAGACTATGACGGTTACTTTTCAAGTCCTTTGCACAGAGATGGCACTGAAACAGAGCAATGCTGTATCTGGCAACTCTTGAAATGACAAATTGCTAACTACAAATTGTAGTAAAAATAATTTGAAGAACTCTGCCCCTGAAATGAACTGTACTACTATTTTTATTAAAATTCGTAGTTAGCAATTCATTATTTACACAGCTGCCAGATACAGCACTCATCTGTTTCAGTGCCATTTCTGTGCAAAGGACTTGAAAAGTAACCACCATTGTCTAAGTAAGTTACAATGGCACAATCTTACTGAACTTTAATTCTAGCTAAGCTATCTAGTTCTAAATTTAGGATCACAACATGTGTAGGCATTTACTAACATATCTTTCTATCTTCATTTGGATGCCCCATTTCATTAGAAATATAACTTTTCCCGAGCTTGGAGTCATATTTTATCTTTCCATCAAATAGCTAAATTTGAAAAGTAAGGAAAACATCAAAAGAAAGTGTTTCTAAGGATTGACATGTTCATTTGCAAGGAATCTGTGTTTCTGGTAATACTCGGATCTTGCTTAAAAACAAAAATCAGTGTACACAACATGAATTTGCAGAGAACTCTGACATGTCAGAAATATGTTTCTGGTCCTGCTTTTAAGAGCTGCTCTTTGCCACTGTGCATTCAGAAAGTAAAATACTCACACAGGGCATTTGTTTAAAATGTTTCCTACTGAGTCCACATTAGAATTGCTTTGGGCCTTTGGCCTTATTTTGAGAAACATTTTCTTCCCATTATTCTTTGGTCCTCCACTTAAATAATAGAAATGTTATTAATGCTATAAGCAGCAATTTACAACCTTATGAATGCTTCTGAACAAATTTTAAACAGATAACTCTTATAGATCATCTTCTCTGTTGCCCCAGTAAAGCCTTATCATTTGCACCAATGATTTCTGCACAAAAGCAGAATTTTTCTTCAATGAAGTCAATCTTTATTCAGGGTGTTATGTGGATTTTAAAATTTTTACCTAGTAAGATTTACTCTGTGTATTTTATGGGGAATTTCATTTCAAAAATTTTAACTATTCAATTTTTTTTTGCAATCTTTTAGTGTAATGGCATTTATTATAAAAAGTCTTCTCAAAATATTTACCAGGAAAATAAGGCAGTTTACAATCAGAATAGTTGACCTTTTGATATTCTAAGACATAATTTACTTTGCATAAGCCTGCGATCAGTTCTCTTTATTCATATTCAGCCTGAATTCAATTTCAAGTACCTGGTTCAGTAATGCTACAGTTACTTTATACATTTGTTTTGTCATGCAGCATGCAGCCTTGGTGGTCATGATACAACCTGTATTTGTGTACCACTTTTTTTCTCATGTTAAAAACCTTTAGTTACAACATGTAATTCAAATCACAGCCATGAAAAGATTTTGCAGCCATATTGTAAAACCGCCATGGTGATCATACTGCATTTTCACTAGTTTCAATCTGGAGTAAACCTAAAGTGAAATCTGCCAGCTCCAAACCAAGACTCATGGTGACTTTCAATTGCTTTCTGCTTCACTCCTCACTCACTGAAGATCTGCTGTATTGGACTGCTTTAAGTAATGAACAACGTGTGGATGCAGTAACAACTGGACATGGTTGTATATAATATGAATCTTAAAAATTCAATACATCGTGTGTTGTAATAGACATACTTAATTCACTCATGTGAAGTAAACATTCTCTGAATTTTGGGGCCTGCAATCTTTTGTTGCTTCTGTGTGAACCATCATGGTTCCTAACTGCCATCATGTTTTGGCCACAACTGTCTCCTAAGTCTTCAATTAATACTTGATTTAATGGAAACTCTGTGAAGCCCAGCCTCCAAGGGATTTCACCCACCTTGGGTGAAAAAGTCATGGGATAAAGTCACTGACAGCTGTGTTTCCTATGCCCTGTGAGCAGGCTACGTGGATGAGATGTGCACATTTTAAGAGAGCTCTACAGCTGGACCTGAGAGGCTGGGGCCAATATTTCCATAGAAATGGAATTTCAATACATTCAGTCCATAATGTGGGTTTTGGAGAACTATAATAGTGTTCTAGAAAAAGGTGACAAGACTGTATTTGAACAAATACGGATTTTTGTATATGAAAAAAATAAGATCACCCTGAAAAATAAGTCCTGGTGCATCTTTTGGAGCAAAATTTAAGGTAAGAGCTGGTCTTATTTTCAGGGAATAATATTTTTGAACTCTAGTTCACCCAACAGGGTCATCATGGGCAGCTGAGTTACTGCACCTGAATGAATAATATTTTCATGGTATGAGATGACCCAAGATAGCTTGGGCAGGGCATATGAATGAGTACCCTCTACAGTGGTCAAGCAAATGGAAGACATGCAGGCCCTTTAGCATCTGCTTTCTGCCACCTTCTCTCTTCCAATAGTCATGACTGATGTCTGAGTGTTCACTGTGGGAGCAGCACTTTGGGTGCAGTAACTCAGCTGTCTATGGTGACCCTATTGGTGAGCTAGAGTGCGATTCTTTTGTCCCTCAAAGGCCACCAGCTTGGTGCTACTAGGAGGTGGTGGAGCCCTCAGGAGTTGGAATCTAGTGAAAGGTCTCCAGTCACTGGGCCGAATCCCCTGAAGGGGACAGCAGGATCTCATGCCCTTCTTCTACTTTTCCCAGCCATGAGGTGAGCAGCTTTGTTCTGCTATGTGTCACCCCACACCCTGGCCCATGATACGCTGCCAGCAGCCTATGCCAGTGGGCCAACCGGTCACAGAGTAGAACTTCCAGAATTGAACCACAATAAACCTTTTGTCTTTATAAGTTGATTACTTCAAGTATTTGTTACAGTAGTAGAAAACTGAATACCAGAGTGGAGCTGTGCTATACACTATATTTCAGAGGGGAATTAACTAGAGGAACAGAGATACCAGGAGACTGACATAAATCAAATGCCTTCACGTAGAAACACAACAGGTGCTCAATGCCGAGGCTATACCGTGACTTCCGACTTCAGTGTTCCTTTGCCCAGCCCTGGGTGTTTTATGTTTTGCTTATTATATGAAGGATTTTTAAATGATTTTCATGTATAAGTGGTCCATATTTATTGTGTTATATATTTCTCAGATTACTTCTATGAAGCACGGGCTCCCCAGCTTCCAAGCCTGCGAGTCACACCAACAGCACTCCTGAATCTCCACAGCAGATAGGAACTCTCAGTTGCCATAATTACATGATTCAATGTCTAATGATAAGTTTCTTCCTATATGCCAACAGGAAATATATATACACATACATGTATATGATTTATACACATTCAGAGGCATTCATAGAAACCTGTTCACACAGAGACAAAGCAGATATATATCTACTATACAGAAATTTATTAGAGAAATCCCTGATTAACATGGCTAGGATGGAGAACAGGGCACCCTCATTAGAAAAAAAAGAGAACTGACCATGAGTGCATGGTGATATCAAAGAAAAACAAGCTTCCCTGTGGTAAGCTCCTAGAATTTTGAAGTTATTACAGAAGTTAGTGCATTCTGATCAAACTGTCAAAGCAACTACAGAAATATACCTGTCGGGAAATACCACTCAGGAAAAATGCATATAAATTTTGTTAATATAAATTTATAATTATAAGATTTAATAATAATAATTACTTGATTCATAGTAAATGAAAGAAATTTGTTTCTCTTACTCTTAAAATTTCATGTGTTCATTGTAAAATTTCAAGTGTGAATTCAAGTGTGATAATGTGAATTTAAAGAAAGTTGAATATCCAAAATAAAAAGAGAAGTAATTTTGTTGTTAAATAAAAATGAACTACAGTTGATATGAGATTATTTTATGTTAAAAGGGCTTGTCTAGTTTACATGTGTTTCATGGAAGATCTTTTAAATTTTATAAAAACTTTGTTCAGGATTCGTATAAAGCAAATGCTATTATAAAATTGTTTTAACTTGGGGGAGTGTGGGGAGGAGAAGATAAATGTGTGTGTAGCTGCAGTAGAAAATGTGACCCCCACCACCCCCAAGCCAGTAACTTCAGTCTCTTAGTCACCCTGGTAATAGTTCCTGTTGCAGTTCCGATTGCTTCTATCCACTAGAAACAGCTGGCTACTGTGGGGCATACTGTAAGAACCAAAGACAGCCAAGTACTCTGTGTTTGGACTTCCCCTTTGCAATCCCATAATATCCTCTCTCCTTGAGCCTTCAGGGCCTGATACTCTCGGAATGATCCTGAACAGTGCTCGGCCATGTAGAATAAATCTGCCTCCAAATCCTAGGTGTCCTTTTGGTGTTTCTGCTTAATGTTGCACAACTCATCTCAGAAACAATTTGCAAATATATCTTTCAAATTATTAATATTAGTTTTTTAAATATTTTCCTGAAACATCATCTTAGATTATATAATCTAAATTAGTATTCATTTTATAAAAAGAAAGTAAAAATATGTTCAAATTCATATTGGCGGAGATTTAAGTTTTCTTTACAAGAAATTATTTTTTCTAAATTTCTAATGTTTAGCAAATTAATGTTAATTTTAGATATTATACTGAATATTATACATGATATAAGAAATATATAGATTATTATATATAATAGATTATTATGCAATCATCATAATATATAAATGTAGATTATTATATATAATCATAAGCTGAAAACTTGATTTTGCTAATCTGAGAACTTTACAGATAAATATTCCTGGAAATTTCTCTCATTTAAAGGGATTATTTTGAAATTTGATATATTTATATGAGCAATAGAACTGCACTGAAAACTTTGATGCACTAATTTTATCATATTATTGTCTGACCATACTCATATAAAATAATTATTATGGTGCAATAAAAAGTCATTTAGTCAGTAATATTACAACATTCCCTTATGAATATATTTTATGTATATTTGTGCTACATAAAATCATATAAATTTATTTTCCAGATCTATGTCATCCATCTCTTATCATTTTAAAAGTTCAGATCTATGCTCTCTCCATTCATCTTCTTTATACAACCTCAGAAGTGAGTCTACCTTCACCAAAAAAGGGAAAGGAAATTGAGTAAACAGTACTATACGTCATATTATCAGAGGTGTAGACATATAATTAAAGTATTGGAAATTACCTTGTAAAATAGTTCTAGCATTTTTTAAGTTTAGAATCTTTAAAATTGTGTTTTGGAAATATTACTTCACTTTTTTCTGTGTTCTACAAATATATATCATAAGATAGGCCCAATGTTTCCCATATTTATCTCAGGTGCTTTCATTTTTATTTCCATTGAACTGGAATATTTGTTTTAAAACACTACATTTCTTTTAGCTGCATTGTACACCCACTAAATAAGTGCATGTGATAGGACAGTGGTAAACACCAGGGTTTGGACTTCCATGCATTTCTCCAGGATGATATTCAATACATTTCAGTTGAAGGGAAAACTTCTGGAAAGTTCAGACCTACATGCCAGAAAGTAATAGTGTAAGAATTCTCACCAGTGAATCTTTGGCAGATAATGCAACCCAACATAACAAGGACAGAGACCTGCTAGAAATTTATGCCTTAAAAGAGCTCCAAAGTCAGTGAAGAAAAACATTTGTTTGCTTTTTACTTCACTGATACATGTTTCAAATTTGTATCCATATATGATGTATTTTAATTCTTCTCTACCCAATCCTCTGTTCTCACTTCAAGAGAGAACAGGCCCAGCTGCAGGCGTGCATGCCAGTGCAGGCGGCACCAGCAAGAACAGACTGGGAAACGGTGCGCACTCCTGCAGGCAGGACCTGTGGCGGGAGCAGTCTGAAGCAAGAGGGAGAATATGAAGCAGCCGCTGTAATCAGGTGAGCATTATGTCCTGCCACACAGACAGGAAGAACAGAAGTGGGTGGGAGCATTTTATATCAAAGAGCTCTAGGAGAAAGCAGGAAACAAAAGATCTGCCCCAGTTCCTAAACCCAGAAGCCAAGGTCATGCTCACAGGCTGCCGCACAAGCCCCACTTGACTGGAGTACGCATTGCTGGATTCTGACTTGGAAACTGCCAGAGAACTATGGACACGAGGGCAGTTTTCCTACTTTTATTTTCCTCTGTCTGGCTGTTTGTTGTCTGGTTGGTTTTGTCTGTTTTGTTTATGGCTATGTTACTTTGCCTTTATTTTGTCTTTTTCTTTTCTTTCCGCTTTCTTTTTTTTTTTTTTTTTCACCAGTTAGTTTTCTTTTTTTTTTTTTCTTTTTTCTATTCATCTTATTTCTCTTTTCCTCAACTATCTCCTGATTTGGTAGCTTCACACGAATGAATATTGTTTCTTGTCTTTCTGGTTTACTTCAATACCCCTTCACTTGCAGTTTCATTTTCTTGTCTCCTGTGTCCTCCAGTTTCCCAAAATTTCAATTATTATTCTTAAACCCCAGCCTTGCTTCTACTATATTTGAACTTTTTCATCTCTCTGTCTTGTCCTTTATCTCTGTAAATTCTTCTCTCTTCCCACACAGGGTAAAATCACTCCAATTAGGGGGAAATCACTCCATTTAGGAGGAAATCATTGCATACAAGTTCCTGATACATATTGCATTTTGTTATATAACTGTAAACTTTGCTCCCTGTTAAAGGTATCAGGTTGACAGTTACAGTTTGTCAGTAGATAGCCTGTACTTGATGCTACTATTATTGACAACTGTACTACGTTAGGCAGGATTTCATATATGTTATGTTTTTGTCCCTTGTATGATATTAAGGTGATTGTATGAGATCACAGTCACATTCATTGTTCAGGACCAAAGGATTGGGTGCCAAGCCAAATAGATAACAATTTTTCATCCTTAATCAATTGGGAAAATAGGTTTTTGGAAAAGACAAAAGACATTTCCTAGGGAGTCCTAAATATTACTGATAAAGATGCCTACCATAAGAAATCAGCAAGCAAAACACAGAAAACAAAATAAAGTAAAAGGAGAAGATGAAAATATGCAGAAGCAAAATGCAACCCCAGACCCCCAGCCCACCCATGACAAGCCCAGAGCACAGTGAGATAAAGGAAATCAAAAGCGAAGCATTGAAATTTTCCAAAATGATAGCAAAAGAAGTGAAAAAACAAATGGAAGAGATTATAGAAAAAAATCAAGTACACAGATAAATGGTGATCAAAATGAAAGACATTAAAGCAGAGACAGATTTTAAAAAAGGACAGGATTTTGGAAACTGTGAATGCCCAATGTAGGAAGAAACAGAATCCTTGAAACATAATCAAATAGCAATTCAGATTAAAATCACCGCTGAAAGTATATACAACAGATCAAAAATCTCTAAGGATGGAATATCAGATCTAGAGTACAGGATCAGGGCTAGGGACTATAAAAAGAAAGATTCCTTAAAAATTTTAAGAGATCATAAAAAATCCAATATTTGCTAGAGGAAGCAAAGAAGACCATCATAAGTTTGAATGGAATCAATGAAAAAGCTGGAGATGGCACAAAGGCCATAAAAGTTTTCTTCACAGAATTAATGGAAGAAAACTTCCCAAACAGGATAAAGAATTAACTCCATGTACATAAAATGGAGTTTATAGAACTCCACACATCCAGGACGAAAGGTATGTCTATAAACCTATCTTCCTCAGGATAGTATGTTTAAGCATCCATGTGTTTTGAGTAGATGACTACAGTGTCAAAGTAGGCATAGTAACTAGGACAAGTGAGATATTTTCACTGAAAAATCATGTCTAAATTTAGCTAATCTGGAGTTTTAATATCTTAACGCTGGACATATGTAAAAACACTAATAAGATTATCTATTGAGCTAAAAAAGACATATTTTCTTGTTCGCTATGAAGGCTTTCAAAAAACTTGCTATATTAGAATACAATTAGGGTTCAAATTTTAACATAGAGACATATGCTTATGTTTATACATATGAATACAGAAAGATATACACATATGTGTATATACACCCATATACATGTATATATAAAACTACTCACCTAAAACAGTAATCCAAGTAAGACCTTAGTACTAGTTTTAAAACCAAACTATTAAACACAGGAAAGAAATACAAGAGAATTATCAGTTCAGTGCCTGTACTTGTTATACTTATGAGTGTTGGGTACCTGAGAGTGAATTTATTTGCTGAAATCGTCCTTGATGCCTGCACATAATGGCAGATTATCATTTTTTTCTAGGTGACATGAACAACAATCTTTACACCTCTTCTGCTCTAAACTTTCTTTAGTATAATTGTAATATGAATAACTCATATTTATGGATTATGTTGAACAGGAAAGCTTTTAACCAGGCAATTATAAAGCTAAAAATATAAAATTTCCTTATTCATCAGTATTTCCTATATAATGCAACAGAAGCAACGTCAGGACCCAGGACTCCTTGGATTAAGTCTAATAGGATAGAAACCAGCATAGTTGTCAATGTTGAGTTAACACAGTTACTATATTATGCATTAAAATTGATTATAAATAAAATGAATAATTGCAAAAAATAGATGAGAGTCTAACAAATGAAACAGAAGACACATTGTTGGGAAAAAACAGATGTGCAATCAGAATGAAATGGTAATAAAAGAGAAACAGTCATCATACAATGTAAAATAGAGTATAGGAAGAAAGGCAGTAGCTTTTATGCATTTTTGGTAGGATATCCCAGTGAGAGGATACACTGGTACGTGTGTTACAAATAAAACAGAAATTTGCAAAAGTTTAATGCTGAGTTTTTTTTGTTTTTTTTTTTTGTTTTTTTTTTTTTTTTTTTTATCGGTACCAGGGATCGAACTCACGACCGCCTGCTTGCAAGGCAGGTGCTTATGCCGCTGAGCTAAATCCCCAGCCCCAATGCTGAGTTTTAAGATGAAATGATAAAGTAGGAAGAGTTATGTAGCACCTACATTTACTTTAGACACACATTTTAGGTTACTGTATTTGTAAAATTCTATAAAATATTTGTACATGTGTTTAGACCCTCATATTTATACAGATAGTAAAAATATAAAAATGAAACAATTATTAGAAGTTCAAAGTTTAAGAAATGTCTCTGTCTCAGTTGGAAAGAATATACTCTGGCAGTATTAAATATTTCTATATTCATTTAAACATTTTGCAATGCACACATGTATTGAAACATCACAAAGCACTGCATTACAATGCACAACTTTTATTTTTTTGTTCATCAGTTAAAATTAATTTACAATTTTACACTTTTTAAATAGTCATGTAAGTTATAGTAAAGTTTTTGCGAATTTAGTCACAGATGTAGGTACATACATTTCAGTATGGTTAGTAATTTTATTTGCACCTATTAAATAATTCATACTTTCCAATTAAATAAAACCATTCCAAAATTTACATATTAATAAAAGTATATTGAGTAACAAAAGTACAATTTCCTGCAGTCACTTAAATTTTCTCTTGTTATCAAATAAGCTGACATGAACAATACTATATTGTGACTTTCAAAATGACCTTCATTGATTATTTTCATATAACACAGCCAAAAGTTTATGAAAAATTTTCTCTAGGGAAGTTAACTTCTCAATTCATATTGCCAATGAATGTGCTTTGGCAGAAAATTTGCCAAAAATGAAATTTACTTTTCGGGAAATTATGATATCACTTAATAGAATCTTGGAGTATATAGCACTCAGACAACTGTCAAATTGGTCCTAGGCCTTGAGAGATCTGAATGTTCATTAGCAGAAGGGTTATATATTAACTGAAACTTACCTCTATTCATTTCAAGATGCTGAATTAAGTTTAGAGAGAATGATGAAACATTCTTATTAAAGGTGGCACAATGTTCAAGGTAATATGAATGCTACAAGCCTATAGCTACCTAAATCATTTTGCCAGATAACTGGATTTAAAAATGGTTTACAATTTTGTGAGATACCAATTTTTCTTTTGGAGTTCAGACCCTTTTTAAGAATTAGATCCCTCAATTCAAGTATATCTTAAAATTTAGGAAACTCTTAGAAAAGAAAGTTAGTTAAATTCATTCTAATATCTTTCCAAGTGAAAGGAAACAGCTAAACAGTAATTTAAAATATGTTGCAAAATATTTCAGCATAAGAATCAGGACATTAATAATCCTACTAAATTTGAGAAATAAAAAGGTTTTGCTTTTTATTATAATGTTAACTTTGGCAAGGTTTGGGAGGCCCAATTTTTCTGTATTCACATATATAACATACCAAATTGCTAAGCAGTCTATTTGAGATGAAAAAAAGGTAACATTCACAATCTCAAGCAGAGAAATTTAATTACTACATTTTTACTGCTTTCTTAATATTTTACTTGTATTTGGAACATCATTTACCTCAATTGGCAAATACGTAATTGTTACTTTTGGTTTGTTTTTCCCTTGCTTTTAGAAAGAATATATTTTTCAAAAGTAGCCATAGTCTTTGTTTTTATAATCAATCCATATTATATCAAAAATAATACATTTCAATAAATACCGGTGGCATAAGTGATTTAATGAATGAATAAAACAAGACACAGCTAGCTCCTATAATTAATGTTATTTTGTTATGCAAATATATTACAAGAAATGAGACACAATATGACAAATAGTTGAAAGGTGAAGAAAATAGACTTTAAATTCTGGGAGAGTGGGGTTATGAGTGTGAAAAATTCTTAGTAATTTCATGGCATTGGAATCCATAGAAAGCTTATGCACAGAGCTTTAAAATAAAATTAAAACAGAACCACCAATTGATATTGGAACTTGAACTTTGAAAATAATATCAACCGTTTTGTTAGATCTAAAATTTCCCAGAAAGTCTCATGTGTTCAAACTTTGTGTTTTGAAAGGTGCCTGGATCATCAGGGCACTACACTCATCAAGGGATTCACCAACTGTGAATTTAGCAGTTGAGTGTGATCTTTAGAGTCTGGCTAGAGGCAGGTACCTGGGCCTTGACCTGGAGGCATCTATGACTGTCTGGTCCTTATTCACTGTGTGAATTCTGACCACTATGACATGAGCTGATTTCTTCCTGTCAGGCCTTTCCATCATGCCATTTCTCTCTTGCAGACAGTGAAATATTAGCCTAAATAAATCTTTTGTCCTTAAAGTTCTGGATATTGAATATTCTGTCCCTGCAAGAAAGAATGTCACCGAAATAGATTTTAATACACAAAGTGGGATAATTTCTGTGAATGTATCGGACTTACTGGCTTCCACTTGTTTGGACGACATTCTTGGGAGTAGTTTGAAAATCTGACCAGAAAAATCTAGAATACTGTTTGCCAAGGTAGGTGGGAAATTCTGATCAGAGCTAGAAGAACAGAATACTGATAGGAATGCATACAGTAAAGCTAGTCTCCAGAAGTTCCAGTTAGGAATACAAACTCCATTGGCTGTTGGACTCCTGGTCATGGGTGTCATACTCTGGCAAAAAATCAAATGAAATCTTTATCTAAATCACGAGACTATGCAGAAGGTTAAGATTAAGTATGATGGATTTATGTGGCTGAGGAAAGTTCAAGGCGGCCCAATAGTTCATCTATAGTTAGGGATGCTTGCTGTTTCTAGCAAGATCTGTTATGAAAACGAGAAAAATAAATGACAGTTAAATTATTTTAAAAATTTGCAGTTTCATCAGAAATATAGCATGGGACAGTTGGCAGAAAGGAGAGTACAGTTGTTTAAAAGATTAGCATGAAAAAAGAGCCAAATTCTTTGAATCAGGAAAATAGGAAAATTATCTGAGGAACATTTCATAAATTAAGCATACTTGACCCATCAGAAGACTAAAAGTCCTAAAATGAAAGACTTTGGTTTGGAACTAGAGCCCTGAGGAGCCAAGTTCATTCAGTTCTATCCAGGAAAGCATTTCCTGTAGTTCAAGCATCAGAAGTCTTTGTAACCCTGATCCAAGAGAAACTGGAAACTGGCAGATCTGACCACAGACCTCCACATCTTCCACATGGTGCTGGTTTTATGGGAAAGAAGAATGTAAGAGCTGTGTGTCTTCTACCCAGATTTCAGAAGATGTGGTAGGTCCAGCAGTGTGGCCCTGAAAGTACATCATTAAGCTGTAAAGGGGAAGCCAAAAGTGTAATGGAGGCTTGAGAAAGCTGAAGATGCCAAGTCTGAGGAACACCTAGTCAGAAAAGCTGCAGGTAGTTAGCAGAACCACCCCAATAAAGGCCACGAGGGCTTCAATAGGCAAATTCACGTGGACCGGGTTTCACAAAAACTCTGGTTCTCATATGTGCTCACAACTTTCCCTGAGTGCTGGACACAGTGCTATAGAATTTAATGCTCACTATGCTGGGCTCCATTCTCACTTTGATCCAGTCTACATAACTCTCTGTATCTTATTTCAGTCTTTTGGAATAGAAGGTTTATGATGTGCCATTATATGTTGGTAGTACTTTAAATATTTTTAACAGTGGCTCATGGCTAAGAGTATGCCTTCAGTCTCAAAGGAAATTTTAGACTAGGACTTTTCCAAAAAGTAGTTCTTGGACTTTTAAAACCTTGGTGAGTCTTGGTGATTGGGTAAATATATTTTATACAAAGAGATGATAAATCTTTTCAGGACCAGAACAGAATTGTAAGATTTACTTAAAACGTCCCCCCTAAATCTCAGGTGGGGTAGTGAAGGTGAGTAGACCGTGGAGTGAGTATGTTCATCACTGAATTCATCCTCTAATGAGTTTAGCAACTGCATGTGCTGTTAGAAGTGTAACCTGGCTAGGAGCAGGATTATGTGGGCATGAACTGAAAAGTACCATAATTCTCTGGCTTTTCTTTGCATACTCTCCCTTTTGGTTACCATGACATGAGAAGCCTTTTCTTCCCCGGTCCTTCCCCAGCAGGCCTTTGTCTCGGAGCCAGTCAGCATGAACCAAAAGAGTAAGTATTCTGCTCTTCAAATTGCAAATGTCAGGTGTTTCACCCCTGTGAACAGAAAAGACACTAAAACACCAAAAATGTTTTCAAGGAGGAAAATCAAGATAACACTTTGCTTAATAATAATAAATAGCAAGAACTGCAATACTAGTTGTATAACTAATAATACTAGTTCTTGGAGTGTGTCAGTCTCTTCTTAACATGCATTTCAGTTTATTGATAATGTCACCTAGTTCTTCTATATGGAAAACTGTTTCATCTGATTCTTTGCTTTTGAGTCAGCGTAACTATCTCAGAACTCACATTTTGTTGTTTACAAACTATATTCAAATTTCTCTCTTTGAGAAACAGTGAAATTAGAGTCAATAGGACTGAAAGCTATAATTGATGAAATATGATATTGCACTCTAAAATTCAATTGCAGAAACCCTAAACCCAGAGCACCTCTGAGGGGTGCTCACTCTTTTTGTGTTGCAACATTGTTCAAGAATACAGAGCACACATGTAGGAAGCCAGAAATGGGAGTTAATTTGGCAAAACCTGCAGTCCTTGACTGCAGAAAAGGGTTTTTACAGATTTAAAAATGAAACCAAACTGCTCCCTAAGTCTCAAAGAAAAAAATAAAAGAAAGCAGAGGCAGGTTTCCCTGAGAAGTCCACCTTGACCCCTCCTCAGCTGCCACAGTCCCTGCCAGCACCTACAGGGTCACTCCCCCTCCCAACTCACCTCCTTCCAGCCTCTGCACCAGGTCCAGTCATCCGCTGACCACACTCAGCCACAGAGGTCCTCTCTCCAGAGCCTTCTGTTTCCTACACTGACCAGATAGCATCATTTAATGCTTACCCACAACAGCTGTCAGCAATTCCTTCTGAGTTCTACATTTTGACCTAGAAATGAGGACTCTCAGCCCTGATGAATGAGTTACCTGACATTTCCCAAAGGCCACTTTTCCGTAGAAATAGCCCAATCAAGAACACCTCAGACATCAAAAAGGGACACAAAAGCTAATCACCAGCCATCACCCAAAAACCTGATTAAAGCATATGATGTCCATAAGAAAATTCAGCCTGATAGACAGTCATACCCTCTGGCTTCAGGCTATTGACACCAGAAAAATGTTCGTTCCATATGTAAGGCATAAAGAAACCTGACTATCCAGGCCCCCTCAGCCTGAACCTCTTTTCTCCATGTTGGGGCTGGATAAAGAGGACAAACTGAGCTCTATCAAATTGGGCCCCCTAGAACCTGCAGTCACTGTAGAAGTTGGGGCAAACCTGTGCCTCCTGATAGACAATGGAACAGAACCCTCTTACCCTCCGAAGTTCCCTCTGTCAAAAGTTACCATTTGGGGCAGCTGGGACTCTTATCTCTCACTCTTTATTTCAGGCACTAACTTACAGCCTGGAAGGACACCTCACCAACATCAGTTCCTGTCTGAGAAGAGGCTTGCTCTTCAAATTAGAAGGGACCATCACTTTTACACCAAGTCAGTCAGCCTCCCCGTCACTTGATCCCTGAGAGGAACACAATGCGTGCATGAGAAAAATAACTGCTGTGCCATCAATAGTATAGCCATCACTTTGCACTCTGTGCTTCCCAACCCATACACTTTTCTTGCACTGCTCTAGCTCACTTGGTCTCAGTTGTGCTAAGGAATTAAGGACTCTCCCATTACCTGGGGGGGGGGGACCCGAGGACATAGTTGGGCAAGCCACCAACACCTTTTCTCTGAGACAGCCTATTTCTCTGTTTCTTTCAGCTCTGTTATGGTCTCCTGAGCAAACACTGTAGACTGTCAAACTGCTAAAATAGGCCTCTCCTGTGTGTAAGGCCAGGTCGGAATCGCTGAGCTAACAATTGCTACAGCAGTTGGCCTCCATATGCAGTGCCTCAGACTTCTACCACCTGCTGTCTGCTGGTATAGCTCTCAGGACCTAAAGAATATCTCCTGCCTTTGATTTGCTCCTGTCAGGCAGTTCATGTTTGTTTTAAGATGGAAAGACCCACCCAGGCATCAAAAAATTATGTGTCCTCTTTTTGAGAAACCCTCACAGATGACCTTGTTGATTTCCCGTCACAACATATTGCAGCACTTCTGACTGATGACATCCAAGCTGCCTGCTGGAAAGACTGAAAAGCTCTGCACAATGTCTTGCACAAACTGACTACAAGAAAAAATCCACAAATTTCTTAGAGCTTCTGCATCCTATAAAATGTGGGCCCTTCAGTTCACATAAACAATGATGCTTACTCAGCGCTGCCTAGTCCCTTTTTTATCTTCATGCTCTAATTGCTGCTGTCCTTGCAATTAAGAAACCTGACAAGCTCATCTTAGTCCAAGCCCTCATTGTCCAGGTGCCTCATGCTGTACTGGACATCCTGAGTAAGTGTCGACCACCCAGTCCTCACATGTGTCTACCCACCACGCTTGGCCCACCAGATGGTGCCTAAAATCTGACTCCCTCTGATGGATGCTGAGTAGACCCTGCTTATGAATGCAAGTGACTCGTTCAGGACAAGTTAGAGATGCTGTTGTCACCTTGGATGAAGTTATTTTGGCCAAAACTACTACTGCTTCCTGCTGCTGTTTGGAAACCTGCTACCAAAATATTACATGAAACTCCATTAGAATGTACAATCTTATGTCTTATTGTATCATCTAAAATAAATTTCACAAAGTGAATGAAACATGATGAAGAAATGTTCAGATAAAACAAAATAAAATAGAGTTTAAGCTGTTTCCTTCCAGTTACACGCAGCTGGGCCTCTGCTTTGTACACAAGACACACCAGACCACTTTGCTTTTCCTCTTCTCACAGGCATTTTCACATCTTGAAAACATGGTTCTGTTTGCATGCCCGCCTCCCAATCCTTCTTACCGTTCTGGACCACAGAAATCTAATGGAAATAATCTCATCCCTCATTTCAGTGTTTTATTTTTGCACACTGTGTACTGAATTGTCTGACTGCAAATCCATTCTTTGCTGTGGCCTGTGTCACACCCTCTTATTCTTGCTGATAAGTATTCAATTAATGCATAGGAATGAATAATACTGAACTGTTCTTATTGATATTTTTAGTTATCAAAATCATTTAAATACATGAAAATACATATAAAAATGTTCATTCTTTGAAAACTAGTTTTATAACACCTTTGTTGTGCTTTTCATGTGCTTTTAGCTTTATGAGCAAATTCATAAGCAATAATGTTTGTGTTACAGTGTCTGCAGTGGTGGGAAACCTGACAGCAAATCGTGAAAGACTCCTTCCGTCACACACTTGCATTTCACAATGAGCAACTGCAACGGCTACTATTCGGAACTGTAATTACAGGATTATTAGCCAGATGTAAAGTAAACTTTAATTAAAAGAAGCTTGGACTATGTATTCCTCTAATGATTCTCCCACCTATAATACACAGGGGCTACAACTGTGTCAGTTCTTGCCAACATATCACAGGGACATAATTACATTGGGTTGTAGCTGTTATAGTGCATGTGAATGGATCTGTTTGGAGTCTAATTTGCAGTTCCTTTATGCTTAATAATATTGAGCATATTTTTATGTCTGTATTTCCTTTATGACTGATAATACTGAGCATATTTTATGCACATTTTCTGTAAATGGTCCTAATTATGCTGATTTATATTAGTTTTTTTCTGTAGTTTTGAAGGAGTATGTTATATTTGAAGAAAAAAATCTTCAATGGTTATAAAACTTGCAAATATATTTAGTCTATTATTTTCATAGTTTATTAGGTATGTATTTTAAATGACAAATACATTTTATATGGATGATTTGAATTTATATTTAAAATGATTATTGCTTATTAGATACCACAAAACTAAAATCATGGTTTTTTATTATAAAATATTTGTATTACTTTTACATTTATTTATATTTTAAATTATTTGTAATGTGCAGAATTAGAAAGGTATCCTTTCATTTTTCTGCAAAAAAAACATTTCTTAATTTCAGTTATTTAAAAGATTACCTTAAGTGACTTAAATTGGGAAGATGGCATCAATTAAATACATACATAAAAATGCAAAGAAACATTTTGGTATAGAACTAATTTTGCATTACTTTAAAATTTTCTGTTGATATATTAGCTTTATACCAGTACCAATATTCTATTGATCATATTACCTTTACAGAAAAATTAGGTAAGTTTTTAAAAATGTCTTTCAATTTTGTCTTATCTTGCCGTCTCTTAGACACTGACATTAAAATCCATATTTAGAAACTATCTGTGTAGTATATCCAAAATTTCCTTTTATTTAGAATGAAACTATGATTTAATTCATGTCTAGATGAAATAATCAAGGTTCTGTATATGGTAGTTTTGAATACAGAAAATACCCGTATTAAACATTAGATATACATTGTATTGTATACTAGTGCCTTTATCCGTAGAAATACATTGCAAGGTCCCTTATGTATGTTTGAAACTATGGAAAATCCTAGAACCTTTATACAGTGCTTTATTCTGTGTGCATATCTGTAGTAAGTTTAAGTTTAAACTATAAGCACATTGAGAAATTAACAATTTCTCATTTACGGATTTTAGCAATCTCAATGCAACGTTATTTTGCTTTCTCTAAGGAAACTTATTCAGTCAAAAACTTTCACCTTTTTCCTTAAAGAAAACACTACGTCTTCTTTCAGGCTCATCCAAATTGCCAACATAACTAATACTGTGCTTTGCACTTTTGCTGAGTTAACAAAAAAGTCACTTGACCACAAGAATGCAATGCCATGATAATCTGAAAACCAAAATTTCTACTGTTACTGTTTTAGCATGTACAATGTGGAAATGATTGAGAAAGCAACAATTAATGTTTGAAGCAGAATAGAGAGGAATGGAATTAGATTTCATTGTAGTACTGTGAAGGGTGTAAAATTTAACCCTTACAAATGATTTATTTTTATATAATTCCACAGATTACAGACACAAAGCCTGTAGCTAACTGAAAGTGTGGAAAGCAAAAACAAAAACAAGAGGTGCTACAGTTTTGATCTGCAGTGCTTAAGGGGTGAAGGCTTGGTCTCAAGTTTGAGACCATACTGACAAGCGAAATGAATCAAACTGACATGTACAAATACCGCAGTTTTCTTAGAGTAAGAAATGGTAAGAATACATCAAAGTGTATGGTAATCATGATTCCCCATTATATTGCTTTGAAGCCTTATAAGGTTTTCATTCATTATTGGAATGGTTTTATTCTCATTGTTTGATTTTATTTTCTGTGATGCTATGAACAGGTATTTTGATGAAAACAAGACATTATCGTAGCTAGTGCTGATTTAATATCATCCCACCATGCTTTTGTTCTTCTGTCTCCATTGGTTTTATCATGTTGTATCTTATTGGATTTTATTATGTGTGATAGTATAAACAAATTTTTTATGGACAAGTAGATAATATAGTAATCATTGTTCATTTTCTATTAGTTGGTTCTGAATACCCTGTAATACTTTCATTCTTTTTAATGATTTTATACTATTTTGTTAGGTTTGATATTATAGTGTATAAAGGTATATTCAAATATTTCAAGAAAAGAGACACTATGGTAGCTAGTGTTATGTCGGGTTGTCTTGTGGTGAAACACTATGTTGCTTAAATTGTTCTGTTCTGACCTGTTTTGTTATATTCTCTTTTATCTTAATCTTCTTAAAATTAAAAAAAAAAGTGGGTTGAAGGCTTGGTAGAAGAGAGTGAAACCTCTGATAGGTGGAACTTGCTTGGAGGTACTTAGGTCATTAAAACCAAATCTCTGCAGAGGATCATGAAATTCAGTGTATTCCCTTCCCTCTATTGTTTCCTAGCCATGAAGTTACAAGTTTTGCTTCACTGAGCGTACTGTGTCACTGCAAGTCAACACCCCCAGAGACTGGAATCTCTCAAATTGAACCAGCACAAAACTTTTCTTTTGTAATTATGCTTTTTTTTTTAATAATGGAAGGGTAAGTCACCCAAGGAGAACTACAGCACATTCTAAAGGACTTGTAGTACTTTAATTCTTTTATTAAACTCACTTCAAACTGCATTTCTGCTATATTAAGTGATACTTAGATTAACTATAATTTTCCAATTTATTTTCTAAACATTTGCAGAACTATACTTGAAAATTGCGGAATTCACTTAATTTCATTACTGTAGTCAATATTCAGAAGTTTCTGCATAAAAATCAAATAAGTAGGAAATTGATGTGTAATTACTAAAATCTTTGTGTTCTTTTTGCCTTATTGTATAACCAAAGTAATACTGATAATGAGTGTAATCACAAACAGCAAACACAAAAATAATCATTTAATCATTCTTCATTAAAATTCTTCTATTACTATTGAATTAGTTTTTAACTGTAGAAACCTTCAAAAATTTGACTGCAAGTTTAGAGTATAAGTTGAGAATGGAGAAAAGTGGTACTATCAAATAAAAAGTGGCACCAGATTTGACATAGTGGTTATCTTAAAGTTAACTTTGAAGATTATATAAACTGTGTGCAACTCTTGCCAGGAAATGCATTTTTGTTACATACCAGGGTGCAAATGTCTGAAAATTCTTTCTGTGAGCTTATAACACAAACTTTTAGCAAATGCATCTTTTCCTTTCTTCTCAACAAGATTTTCATGCAGGAAAAGATGGAGTTTGTTTTTTGGTTTATATTTAGCTTACAATTATTCTTGATGATATATCCTTTATTATGGCTCATTAATGGTTATGTATTTGCTGTTTTACTGTCTTGAAACACCAAGTCCATTTATTGTAAGATAAATAATTGCAAACTACATTCAGATATGAAATGTAACTAAGTTAATGCATATGTGTAATATATAAAGGATATTGTAGCATATAATTTATTTATTAGAATTGATTTTATAATTAGGTAATTTTCACATTTTACTAGAGAATGCACTTCTTTTATAACTACATTTTAAGTGATTTTACTGCACAAAAGATAATTTTTACAGTGACTGAAATTCAATAAAATTTCATTTGTTCACTTGTTTTTTATGAAAAATAATATATAACATCTTTCAATTATTTAGATAATTATAAACTGTGGAAACCCTGTAATATAACCTTAAGTTATCAACAAATAGCTGTATAAAATATTCTTATACTGTGTTACTTCCAGCCTAAAGGAACGTGACATTCTGTAGAGAAGATTAAAGACTAATCCTAGGAGATACAATTCAGGTAATAATGACATATCTTACAATGAACTCACACTACAGGAGAATTATAAATGCCAAAATTGTATGTTCACACAGAGACATATCTACATGCATGCCCACACAAAAATATTTAATGTCATTGTAGAAACCAAAGAGCAGGCAAAATTTGGAGATGGTTTAACCCTTTAAAAAGTGAAATGCATACTTGTATGCTTTACTCCTGAGGTTGTTGAATTTCAAGAGAAAGATATACATATATATATATATTTTTTTTTTTTTTAAGCTAGAGATACTATAAAATGTTGCTCAAGTCTATCTGCCCAGCTGGAAGTTGATGCGTGAGATCGTTGTGAGGGGAATTCTGAAATAGGAATTCCTGTAAGCTTTTGATGACACCAAGCACTCAGTGCTCAGATTTAAAAAATCAGAAATAATAAAATGATGCTTCATTTGAAGATTCCTTTTAATAGTCAAGACAATAAACATTATAAAAGTGTCAGATGAAAGACAGTAAAGTTATCAGAGTATCGGGCTGCCAACTGGTCTAATATGAATGATCATCAGCAGTTTATCAGTGACAGGGAAACAGACACCACAGAGTTCTGTCAGGTAATTGTAAGTATCTTCAGTGCATTAACCTGGTGAGAGGAAAAAGAATATCCACTGTTCAGTCAAATATAAACTCCACCCACATGTGATCACATGATGTGATCAAACTTTAAAATTTGCTTTTTATGAAAATAATTTATAGAATTTGGAAAAGATTTTATAAATTTGAGCATATTAAATATTCTAATCCAAACTTAATATAAAGAGTAAGACCTTTCCTGTGAATATACTAGCTCTTATTTTTCTAAGATTCATGAATATGTACATATATGTGTCCTCAAAATGCTCTATAAGACAAAAGTATTCAGATTACTCCTATTGTCAGAAAAATTAAAATGAAGCATTTTCTTTAATTAAATTTATAAAATGTTAAATAATATAACACATATCAGGTACAAATGCATTAAAAAGAATTATACATTGTTAAAGTCTTTTAACCTTAAATAGCTACATGTATGAATTTTAAAGAGGCTTTGTATTGTTTATGCCTAAATTATTTTCTTGCTACACCACCAACTAAATAGAAAACTAGTGCTAACAACTAATTAACATTTTATATTCATAGAAAAGTGTGCATGACAATATATTTGTATCTTTTTTTTTTTCTTGAGACAAGATCTTGCTATGCAGTTCAGGCTGCCCTTGAACTCCCAGAGATACACCCACAAAAAATACTGAGACTCAAATTGTTTTCCAGTCTCTTTCCTTGCTTATTTCTACAGTATCAAACCTCTTATTTCTATAGTATCAAAGCAAATGATCATAGTAAGTGGACTGTAAACTGAAATATTGAATCCAAATAAGCCCTCCTTTTGTTAAGTTGGTTTTCTTAAGAATTTTGTCACAGTGACAATATGCTAACACAATGATACATCACAAAATTACCCCAAAGAAACAAATTATGTAATGATTTCAGTTGATGCAGAAAGGCATTTGACAAAATTGAACATTCATTAATGATTAAATCTCTAAATATACTAGTTATTGAAGTAGCTTGCATGATTGGAATAAAGATCATATATTAAAGGCTTACAGTCAATATAATCAATAGGGACAATCTAAGAACTTTTCTTAAAGATCTTTTATAAGGAAAGAAAGACAAGTTCACTGAAAATCTTTACCAAGACAATTACTTTTTCTTGAGGGCAAGGATTGTTTGAGACAGGGTCTTGCTATTTAGTGCAGTCTGGCCTTGAACTCATGGTGATCCCCCTGCCTCAGCCCCCCACATGCTGGGATTCCAGACATTTATCACCATGCCTGGCTGCCAAGACAGTTAGACAGTAAAAAGTGACAAAAATAACCTATATTAAAATCAAAGATGATCAATTGTTGTTACAGATAAAATGGTTATATATGTAGTGAACACTGAAGACTCAATAAAAAACAGTTATTTTTGATAAATTCCTGAAAACTCCAGAATCATGAAATATCAACCATAGAGACTGAGGAGTAGCTACATTTTGTATTATGTTCCTAGCATGGCGATGCCTAAGAATTGTGGATTCAGTGTCCAGCATCACTGAACAAATATAGAACCAATAATAATAATAATAATCAGTAGTGGTTCTACATGCAAATAATTAACCAGTAAAAAGAGATAAGAGGCCAGGCACGGCCACACAGCCTTACTCCCAGAACTCTGCAAGACTGGACAGAAGATGTACAAATTGGAGCCCCACGAGGCTCACTTAGTGCTTAGAAACTTCCTTCTCAAGAAAAGGTATTTTAAAAGACCTGGGGATGGAGTTTAGTGGTTAGCTCTGGTTTCAATACTCAGAATGACAGAAAGTTTAAAAGAAGTGATTGAGAAAAAAATCATAATGATATTTGGCAACAAAAAGAATAAAATGCCTGGGAATGAATTAAAAAAATAAAAGAATCACTAAAATTATAAAACAATAGTGGAGGAAAATAAAGGCAAAAAATAAAGTACTCCTAATATTCACTGGTTTAAAGATTTGTAATTGTGAATAAGTCCAGAGTATGGAAAATAACCTGCAGATTTAATGGAAGTCCTAGGTGCATTCTTCACATAAATAGAAAAATATATTAAACTTGATATAAAAATCACTAAAAACCTAAAGTGGTAAAAGCAACCTTTGAAAAAAGAACAAATCTGTAAGTGTCAAAAGTTCTGATATTAATTATAGTTTAAAAATACAGTAGTCAAAATGCACAAGATAGAAAATAAAATTCACTGTAAATATAGAACATTAGAACAATAGAGAAGTCAGAAATACATATATATTCACATATGCATACATATAGATACTGAAAATGTGTGATAATTAAAAAATATTTGTATGTTTTTATTCTTATTTTGATCAGAAAAATTAAGCTTCATATTTTCTTATTTTAAATTTGCATTTGCCTTTACATAGGCAATAATTGGGACATTAACTTTTTAGTTATGTTTTGGTTAAAGTATGTTAACGACAATAGATCTTTCTAAAACATAAATAGTTTCACAAAATCTTGATACAATTCTTGTTTATATAAATGTAATCTCATCAAAAGCAAGATTGTTTATCCATATATTTTTTAGAATTTTGAGGGAATCTTGCATTGAATATGAGGCACTTAAACAATCTGAGCGAGAGAAAGGGATCTCCCAAAGGGATGAAAGGGAAGGGTGCAATCTGGTTCATGTAGTCTACATTGCGGATCTCAAAAAAGCACAGGTGGTTTTATGGCATTAACTATTATTTTAGCAACACAAAAAATTATGTTTTGTAAAATGAGCCGGACACTAAAGAATCCTCACCTTATTTTTGTAATTTTTTTAAGTCCAAGAGCTAGAAAAAGTGTTCTGGGCTAACAGAAATAAGCATGGTTGTCTGTTACGATTTGAAGGAGGAGAAACAGCTATCTAACATGAGGGAAATAATTTATATGTCATTTTGTATGATGAATATGCAGATTGTATAATAGTAATATCTCATAGTCACGCATGATCTTCAAATTTGTAGTACATATGCATGATACATTCATTTTAAACCATTTTCATTTTTAAATGTTGATTCTCATTTTTAAAATGTTTCTATTATTAGGTTTATATCTGAGTTTGCATGTTTTAAAAGAAACAACCATATGCTTTTTTAAGGAAACAAAGAATACAAAGATTAGCATTGTCTTTTTTTTCTACACTTGATTTGACAGTCTACATTTATCAAGTATGCAGTAAATATTTGTAGTATTTAATATAAAGATAGACACTTCCTCTTCAAAATATGCACTAAAATATAAGTTCTCCTGAAAAATATGTGAACATTTTCATGAATTTATTCATTCACTAATTTTCAGTTTATTTTCTTTAAATATTTTTTGCATATCTATTAATTAAAAATCTGTTAGGTTCCAGTTACATGGTAATATACAAAAAATTATCTAGGTTGCCCTCACACATGAGTTTGTTTTTTTTTTAATGATTTACGGGAACAGATTATATAATGCAAGATGTAATGAACAGATACTCTGAAGAACAGATGCTAAGAAACCCGAGGCTAATTTTGTAGCATTATGATATTAATTCTAGCAATACTATTGTTCGCTGATTAGAATGACATTGGTCTGGTCTCTTGAGTTCAATTTCAGCATATGTACAGGTGGGGACAACTACCACAAAGAGAATGAGAGATGCGATGGTAGTTATTATTGTCTTCCCTAATGTTAGATCTTGAAGACCTAAAAAGCCTTCATCATCCTATAATGATTTGATTAGTTCTATAATATGCAATAAGTATATAAAGTGGGTGAAGATGGGGACAACTATTTGTAAGAAACTAGAGACAGTTAGATAGACAGTGAAGATCTCCAGTGGACTTGGTTTGAAATCTGTATTTCTTCAAATTGTTTTTTTTTTAACTGTTTTGTTCTGTTTTGAGATGTTTAATCTTACCCTCTTTGAGATGTAAAACAAATGTGTAGGACTGATAACCATATTACTGAGTTTTTGTTCGATCATTGAGCAGAACTTTTTTTAGTGTCACTTTTTGAATGTCATTCTAAATACTTTAATTCCATAACCTGAACAGCTATTTCTAAGATGACAATATGTAACTTATCAACCAGCAATTTCTTACCGTTTGTTTTTCTGTAATTTTGTATTATTTCTACCCTTTTTTATCTCCATGTATTTTTTGTTTCCTTTTCTTTAAATAAAATTAAAAAAAATACTCCTACAACAATCTGAATACAATGATTCCAATGGTCATTTTACTGGTTACTTTGTTTTGACATTTGTACTTTAACCAGTGTGCAAATATTCAAAATATCAAAATCAAAATTTATGTGTTTTACTTATGCTACAATTTCTTTAATTTTTTCTTCCCATTCTATTAACAAATTTAAAATTTGTTTGAATAGGTACATTATATAGATAAACCTAAACTTCCTTGCTATAAGCAAGGAAGATTTTATGAACTGTTTAATTGAAATAGCCTAAATTACTTACATTAATACAGGTTACAATTTATAGTGTATGTAGATATATCTCAAACTGTGCTTAAATGTGAAAAATTACAAATTACATTAAAATTACATAAATTTATACAATGTGACGTATTTATGTCTATTTGATTAACTGTGGAATATAAAATTATTTCCCAGCAATTTGTATTTCTGAAATTTTAAAAAATAGCCCGCTACTTTAGAAGCAATATACGCCTATATACAGTATATGTAACATCTGAAAATCAAATTTCACTCAGATTTGTTATTTAACTTAGAAAGATGAGCCAACAATATTAAACAGCTGATGAAATATACCATGTATTTGAATTCCATTCATGCAGGATCATGGACTGGAGATTTAGCTTAGCAGCATAAGCATGTGCCTGGCAAGCCGGACATCATGAGTTTGATCCCTGGTACAAAAAAAAAAAGAGAATCTTATGGCCAAAGCAAGTTTATATTAATAATTTTTACTAAACGCCTGCACCTCAGGCACTGCAATGAATTCTAAGTAGTGTATTTCTTGAAGATGGTACTAATAAAGATCAAAAATAATATCTCATTTAATCCTCCTACTAAACTTAGAAAAAGTGATAGGCAATCTATATATTTTATAGATGATAGAATGCTATTTTCTGAAATTACTTCATATTTGTAGTAACTTAGAAAAAGTCATAGGGAACCTATATATTTTATAGACGATAGAATATTAGTTTTCTAAACTGAGACAATAGAACACAAATATAAATATATCTTAACTGCAAGAAATATTCTTGTGATCTGATTTATGCTTTTAAATTATTAATAGTAACTCACAGTAGTATTGCAAAAATTTGGACTTCAGAAAATAGTTGAAATTCTATTTCCACAGGTGTATATAAATCTCTAACACAAAGTAGAAAAACAAAAACCAAATAAAACCAAGCAAAAAGTCCATTTAAAGTGAGTTTAAAACAAGCAACTGACCCAACAGACATACATTAATTATACTCAGAGTACTGTTTAAATTAAATGTTCCTTGTGATTTAATTCCTGTTTGGGGAATATCAAATGCATTAATGAAGATTAGTTCATGCAGATTACAGAGAATCACTTTCCCCCATGAAAATAATCAGTGAATTCCAAGTAGACTTCAGCTTTGTAAAAGACAGCCACACATTCTTGTTGAGCATTCAGTGTTGCACTATGAGGAGAAAGGAGAGCAGGTCATGACTGAATTTCACGCTCCTGTGACCCGCAAAATAATTCACACAGTTATCAGGGCATTCATTCAATTTCCGTATTACCTGCCATCTGTGATACACAGATATGCTAGATTAAAGATCAACCTTCTAACTTTAAGCCCAAATAAACTCACATATTTAATGGCAAAAATATTTGTCATTATGTATATTCTGAAGTATCACTCTTGATCTATGTACAGTATGTCCGAGAAAACTAATTTTTTGAAGCAAAAGTTCTTACAGATTCACAATTTAATTCACAAATTACATTTAAACTACATTAGACTATATTTTCTTATACTATATTTTATATACTTATACTTTTCTTATATTTTGTTATACTGTGTGGCCTAGCATTATAGTTATTTTGTGTGCTCAAATTAACAGAAACATTTGTGCACCCATAATGGGCCATAATGAGAAACAGTTACTGAAGAAGTTAAAATTTTGCCAGCACAAACACATTGCATAATAATCTACTTCTTTCTGACTCTGCTTTAAGACACACAGAGAAAAAAAGCAAGTGGACACTCAATCAATATATTCTTTATAATTATTCTATTCCAACAGATGAAAAACTCAGAAAAAAGGACACGGGACATGAAGTTACCAGTGAAGGAAAGAATGTAATGAAAATTTATCTAACAGACCAATTTGGAGAGAAGTTGAGAGCATATCTCAGGGAGCTTTCACACTCATGAACTGAAAAGCAAATAGCAACAAACCTCCATGATTTGCTTTGAGGAATTAACCTAATAGAAAAATTGAATTAAAGAGAGGTCTACAAAACAAACAGCTGAATGGATGTTGTTAATGCACTTTCGAAATTTAAACTCCTGTATGGTAAGTATTTAAAAATAGCACTTCTCTAAAATATTTAGCTATATCTATGCCTAACTACATATACACAATTCTAATAATACATATTCTCATAAGAAAGATTTGATCTTTAACTGTTACTGTAAACCCATGCATAAAGAGTACCTAGGTATTCAAGGGACAACATGATTTCCATTCAAACTATGCTATATAGTTTCTTTAACAAGATATTTACCTTAATTTTAATGCATCCAAATGCTAATTTTATCCATAAAACTCAGCTAATTAATGCTGTACTTGGCCCTGAAGCTCTAACCGTTGCAATCCCTCCTGACCCCCTTCATCCTGGGGATTGGACTCTACTACTTTTAGAACATGGCTCATTAATTATTTTTACCCCACATAATCCTCCATGAAGCATATTTGTCAATACCTCAAGTGCTTCTACATACACATTTTATAACTTCCCAGTCAATAGATATAACCGTAGATTCCACCGCCTGCCTGGGGGTGTTGAGGGCTGCCGGTCTCTCTGGACAGACTTCCTGGCTGCAGGATCTGATTTGTCTGTGCTTGACTGCAGGTATGTTTCTGTTCCAAGATCCAAATATGTCAACTAATTTGGGAAGAGTAGGTGAAATACTGTGAAATACTACTCTAACATGGCCAGTTAGAGTAGGAGATGTGCTGGAGATACTTGGAGGAGAGTCACTGAAAATAAAATAGTGTTCTGAGATGTGAAGGGAAACTGCACTCAGGAAAGAAAACCAGTCAGAAGAATAATCACACAGATCTTGCCAATATCTGGATTGTTGAAAAAGTGAAGCGGCACGGCCACTGGTCCTTGGTTCCACCTTCTCCCTTTACCCAGAGGCCACATCATCTAAAGAGGAGTCTGAATCACCAGTGAGGGAGACAGCACTGCAATGGCCAAAGCCTTGCACAGGTCCCTTCATTCTCACCCTCCCACCTGGAGGAGGAAATCCAGTGTAGCAGTGCACTGTGGTTGAGGCCCCAGGGAAGCCGGATAGAAGAAGATAAAGCAACATGGTAGTCTTTCCCTACCCCCATCATCCTCCCTTAAAATGGGAACAATTCTGTCCCGCATTATCTTACCTCCACCCAGCATCTAGAATGAAAGCCTCCACAATGCAGAGAGATGCTGAACTCCAGAGCTGTGGGTGATGCTGAGTCCACTAGCAGAGATTCCTGGACCACATGCCTAGACATATAGGGGAGGGAGACAGACTGAACAAAAGGAGCGAAGAGTAGGCAGTTTCCTATTGCTTCCCCAAACACAGGAGAGATTAGAAAGAGCAGGAAACTCACCCACTGCCTGTTGACCCTCCTGAACATAGGAGATAGTCTACTAGGGCCAAGAGGACTCCAACCAGTTCTGTGGGCTGGCAAGCTTGAGTGAGCGATGGTTGGGGATTTGAAATTGAAGGAATAGAGGAGTCTTCTAAGACCTAGAGCTTCTTGTGACACACTGAGCGGGAAGTTCCTGGACAAAAAAACACTGAAATGAACCCTGGGTTTGCTCAGCAGTGAAGGGAGCAGGAATGGAAGGTTACCAGTGAAAGATGACAAGAAGCCAGCGGTCAGACACAGTATTTCACCTACTCTTCCCAAATTAGTTGACATATTTGGATCTTGGAACAGAAACATACCTGCAGTCAAGCACAGACAAATCAGATCCTGCAGCCAGGAAGTCTGTCCAGAGAGACCCGCAGCCCTCACCACCCCCAGGCAGGCGGTGGAGCAGCCCACAGGCAGAGCAAATTCAGGTTCAGTGCATGGAAGCAGACTATGACTACAGTGGGAAGGGAACGGGACACTGTGACTGCACGGTAAAGCGGCCACGTGGTGGGGGACAGGGTGTTTTCTTCTATGTGTGTATGTTGTGGGTTCTCTCCAGGGTTTTCTCTTCAATGCTTAATTACAAATTTATTTTTAGTTTTTTTTTTAATTTTGCAAGCTTTTACGTCTTTTACTCTTCTCTTTCTCAGTCTTCTTCTTTCTCATTTTAATTTTCTCACCTACCTAGTTTATTCTTCATTTCTTTGCACTTTGGGCAACAGATATATAGCAAGTGCTTGTAATGTACACAGCAGAATAAGATTAGACCAGTGTTTTAACTTAAATGGCAGCGTTCACGGTTATGCTGGGGTAACCTTCAATATAATGTGCTTACAGGATCCCACTAAATCTAACCACAAATGTGTTAGTAGGTTCTGACAACTCCACAGCTTCCCTCAACCTCCAGTTATTCTGTCCTTTCACTGCAGTCCTCTCATGCGTCCAAAATATTCTTTTAAACTCACCAGCACTAACCCTTTATTCTAGCTATAAAATGCCTCCAACAGTGTCTGACTTTGTATCTTATCCATAAACATCCTCTTTTCTCCTTTCTCCTTATTTTCCCCCTGATTTCCCCTTTCTCTGTCCTTCCTTTCTTCTTCATCACACATTAACTGTCAATAAATACAGCATAGTTTGGAATTGGTGCTAATACAAGGGGAAAATTATAATTAAATGGATTAATGTTTATTATTGATGGATGGTTAGATCTGTAGATGGTATAACCTGTAGGAATCTCTACAATAACACTGTAACTGGATACAGCCCAATTCAACTGAATAGAATAAAGTAGCAAATAAAAGCCTCTAGACAAATAAAGCTAAGATCATATCAGTAGAAAACAGCTAAAGAGATCTTCATAAGAACAACAAATTTTCACTCTATTTGACTTCAACCATCAGCACATACACATACCAAAAAAATAAATAAATAAAAAGGAACATGAAAAAATAGGACAGAAAATGATTCCAAAGACTCCCAACTCTCTTTAAAAAGACTCAATGGCACTGACAGAGTGAAAGGCAAACATGAGCGGCTGACCAGCATGAAATCACTAAAACAGACACATGGAAACTCAGCAAGCTCAAATACTATGTCACCCACAAAATGGTTGAACTAAAACACAGTGTCCAATGGATTTTGACAAAAACCAAAAATTAAAAGACCTCATCAAAGCTATTTCAAACATGAGTGAATAATTTACCAAAAAAATAGACTCCATGAAAACAGAAATCCTTAATGAATTCTACTGAATACGAGCAATGGCGAACTGGAAGTATCAGACCTCAAGGACAGGATGGAAATAAAAGATGTTATACACACAGATATGTTAACAATAGTACAGCAACATTAGTAAGTGCTTACTAGATGTTGCTAAGTCTAACTCAAGGAAAACTGGAGTTAGAGACAAATTAGAGGATAGCACATACAATATAAAATATCTGTTTAAAGAATCAAAACAGAAAAAAATAAAGAAAACTAAACATATAAACTATATGAGGCTTACAGAACAACAAGTAATGATTTTTAAAAGGCCCCAATTGCACATCATAATCAAAATTTGAGAAGGCCAAACCAATGGACAGAGTCATAAACGTTGTCAGTGAAAAGCCAAAGATCACTTGTAATTGTATTAAATAAGGCTTTTTTAAACAAAAACTTTAATACATTCCCACCAGCTTGAACCGCCAATGTACAGGCATAACTGTTACATCAGATAGTTTGCACAACTGGTAGTGACAATGGATGTAATCAGTTTTATTGGTCTTTTTACTAATAAAATGAATAGTAACTTGATGGGACAGTCATGCATGTGCTGGTGGTGATTCAAACCACTCAGCAATGAGACCTATGAATTGAGACCTATGAATTATGGTCTCATCACAAACATATTAAAGACTAGTAGAGGGTGGACTGAACTCTATCCAGCACTAGAAGTAAAAGTCTTTCAACCCAAACTAAAACGTACTGCAATGACCTTTTCAAAATGAACATAGGATAAGGGTATTCCATAACTAAAACACATCATAAGAAGTTCATAAACACCAAATGAATACTCAAAAAAATCATGCATATTTTAGTTAGAGAAAATGAAGCCAACGATATCCCAAATTCTGATGAAATAAATACATCAAGCAGCATATCGGTTAAAGAAAAATGGAAAATTAAAGATGTCAACAGAAATCAGGCCATGCAGGAATACATCAATATTTTTCAGTAATAACTCAATATAAATGTTCAACAAACAAGAAAAAGACAAATTTGTAGGCTGGATTGATCACAAAGCCCAGTGGTTTGCTGGATAGAAGAGACTCATCAGTTTGAAAAACTCATATACTAAAAATAAAAAGATGGGAAAGAAGATTGCATGCACCAGAACCCCAAAAAGCAACTGGAGTATACATTTCTCAAAGAAAATGTACTTGAATTTAAACTCACCAGAAGAGGCAAGGAATGGCAATTTATATTAGTCAAGAGAACAATCCAGTGAGAACAGATAATAACTGTAAATATATATGTACTGGACATAAAAGATTACATATGCACCAGCACAATTGTGATGGGAGACCTAAATACATCACTCTCTCAAACAGAGATCAAGAAAACAAAAAAATCACCAAAGAAATATCAAAGTTGCACTATACCACTGAACAAATGAAACTAACAGATACCTTCAAAGAGTTCTACTGAACAACAGAACAGACATTCTTCTCAGCAGTCTAGGGAACTTTTTCAAAAATAGACGACATTCTAGTCCATTAAACCTACAAAATAAGTGCAAAAGATTAAAATCATGCTACACACACAATTAGATCATAGCACAATAAAACTATAAATCAATTATAAAAGAAACCACAAAACCATACAAATAGAAGGATATTAAATAATATACTCCTGAATATTCAATTACAGAAGAAATAAAGGAATAAACCAAACACTGGAGAATCTAGGAGACACAAAACAGAGTTAAAAATGAAGTTTATTGCTATAAACACCTAGATTAAAAAACCAGAGAAAGTTAAAAAAAAAACTGAATTATAAAAAACCAGAGAAAGTTAAAAAAAAAAAAACTGAATTATATATTCACAGTTCTATCAAAGAAAAACCAATCCAAACGCAAATTTACTGCATGAGTGAACTCACAAGGATCAGTATGAAACTTAATTTTAAGAAAACAATAAAAGAATCAATGAATGAGTTAACGAGCTGATTCTTTAAAAAAACAAAACAGACCAAATCTTAGCCAAACTTAAAGGAAAGAATGAAAAACTCGTATCAATGCAATTAAAAATTAAAAAGTCAAAATGACACCAAACACTAGCAAAATCTAGGTGACTAGCAACTAGAGTGAAAATTGTGACTCCAGAAAATTGGAAAGTCTTGAAGAAATGGTCAGATGCCTAATGCATATAAAGTACCAAAACTGAACCAAAAAGATATAAAAACCTGAATAATGCCAAAGAGACAATGAAATATATAATGTGATATTCTTTCCTTAATAATTTTCAAAACAAAAGAACAAAATTAATCAGTTGCGGAAAACATGAAAATTCACCATATTTTGAGGTGGGAAACAAAAATCTTCTATACATAAGAAGAGGTAGGAATATTTTTTGGCATAAATATGTAGCTTAAAAGCACAAAGAACACTGAAAATTAGATACCGTATATGCAGAGAAACATTTTTCTATAAACCTGACTCTCCATTCAGTTATAAAGAATAGCGGTGCTAGAGCACCAGGCTGCAGTTCAAACACGCGCCAGACACCACGTACAGTAAGGCCCGGATAAAAAGTGACAAAACCTCTGAATCCTGGTCGCATTCTGAGCTCATGCTAGCTCAGTCACTTGGCAGCACAGGACCAGCGAATCCTGGAAAGGTGGGCGCACCCTCCTTCTGCCCTGAGTACCCAGAAGTCTTTCTCTGCTGTACCACGATCCTCCGACACCCCACTTTGGGTAGAGGGGCCCCCTTTGGACGGAGCCTGGTGCACCCAGAGAGAACTGCCCCGAGTCTCTGCACACCCCTGAGCCTTTGGGCCTGGGAAGCGAGGTCACCCCAGCCTGCAGAGCTCACTCTGCATCTTTGGGGAGTCCACGGAGAGGCAGGAAAGCGAAGCAGAAGACAGTGCTTAAAGAATGCAGGAAGAGGAGTCCCAAAGTAAAACAAAACCCGAGCAACGCAGCAGCTCCGATGCCCAGAACGACCTCCAGCACCGACCGGACCATCAGGTTGGACGCAGGAGAGCGCAGGCTGGAGCTGGCTGCAGCGCCGCGCGGTGTCCCTGGTGGGAAGGGCAGGCGGGAAGACAGGGCCTGAGCAGCAAGGGGCTGGGGCTTCCATCTGTGCATCTCCGGCGGTGTCTACTCTTTTCACTGGAATTGTCTAGAATCCGCCCACTGTGAACTGACAGAAATTTGTGTAAATAATACACTAACAACAACAACAAAAAAAAGCAGTGCTTTCCTACGTTTATTAGCATAAGAATAGTAAGCTGCTAGTAACAAGGAAAATTGGAAAAGCAATGTAAACCAAAAAGAAAGAATGTAGGGAAAAAAGTAGAAATATTCTTTCAAGCTATCTCTATCCTCAACATGGAGTAATTTTAGAAGAATTTGATCACTATGAAATAAATCTCAACTGAGTAACATCAAACTTCAAAACCATATTAGCTGTTAATATTAAGTGAAATACCAAATAATAATGTAACAGGGGAAAATGTGTCCATTTTAAAAACATAAGCTGATTTATGTCAGTCTCCGCCATTCCATCTCTGATGTTGCCATTTCAACAAAAAACTGAAAGGCATTAATAAGGACAGAGTAAAAATGACACACTCCCAAGAAAGACAACCACAAAAATATGCAAAAAAACATGTTGGAGACACTAATGGGAAACACAAAAACATGAAAGCAACAGAAACAGCAACAGAAAAGTTATTACAAAATTCTAATGGATATGACAGGACCAAAAACAGTGAATGCGTAATGAAGAACGCACTTGGCAGGTTCATTAGTAGTCACAACTCAGCCAAAAAAAGAATCAGACACAATAAACTTAAAGTTATTTAATATTGAAATTTGAATAAATTGAAATATAAACCAAATACTTGAATAAATCATCTGAGAGCCATGAGACAGCATTACAATATCCAGCATAGATCCACCTAAAAAACCTAAAGGATAGAAAAATAAAACAGAATAAAATAAAAATCTGGAGGCACAAAAGTTCTTCAAAATTAATTTCAAGTGTAAGGTATCAAGAGTTAGCTAATAAATTCAGTGAGCATCTATTAAATAACAAAAAGGAAAAGAAGAAAGAAAAGGGAAAGAAAAAAATTTAAAAAGCAAAAATAGAAGCTAGAATAAAAAAACATATATATATATATATATATATATATATATATATATATTCCAATGTCCACAATTCTATATCTACCAAAATATGCTTTTCAAATAATAAAAATTGACATTTCTTTAGATAAACAAAAATTGGCAGATTTCTTTGCACCTGTTTTATTCTACAGTAACTATTGAAAAAAGTTCTTCAGGCAAAAATAGTATCAGAGAAGAAGCTGGATTAACTCCTTTTTTGCTCTTTTTTCTCATCTAAAATACTGTGAAAGATGCGCTGGTGTCAAAATAAAAACTGGTAGTAAAACAGCCTTTCATTAAAAATAATGATAAAATATATTCCAAAATGGGAGAATGAATGCAAAATATAAAATTGTAATGCATATGCATTACATATGAAGTGTTATGATATATAGTGTCAAAAAGATGAAAGATATACTGATCACTTTATGAAGTAGTAATAATAGCTAAATAAAAATTAGGAAGAAGTATTGAATGTTTAAAGTAGGTCATCTTATGGTATTGAATGTAAAGGTAACTACTGACTCAACCTCAACTTGTATTAGGTTATCTATGGGTTGTTGTACTGTTATCCTGTATTGTTTTGAGATGTGTTCTTTCTTACTTTTTTTTTAGGGTTTTCCACATGAAGAAATGGAAAATTCAATGAGTGCCTTTACAGTGGCAATTTGAATGATCACAATTTTTGTTTTTCCTTCTGTTGGTATAATGAATTATATTTACTGGTTTGCATAGGTTGAAGCTTCCTTACATAGTTTGAATAAATTTTAGACCACAGTGTATGACCATTAGCTGTACTCTTGGAGTCAGATTGCTGGTACTGTATTTAGATGTTTACATTAGTGCTCAGCAAGGATATTAATCTGAAGATTTACTTTTTGTTATATTCTGATATCATTTTGGTATCAGTGTAAATCTGGCATCTTAGAGTGATTTGGGAAGTGTTCCATGCCTTTCAATATTTTGTGGTACTTCGAACATTACTGATTCTTGCTTTCCTTTGGAGCTTCATAAAATTAATCTGAGTTGCCAACTAATCCTTGACTGTTAATATTTTGATAGAAAATGTCCTTTGAAGCTCCTATTCAGAGCTGGGATCTCGTTAGCAGGAGCAGGTCACTGGGGAATGACCTAGAATGGTGCATTATCACACCTCCTCTCTCTGTTTCTGGGTTTACTTGAGATGAATTGTTACCCTAGGCCAAGCCCTTCTACCTTTCTGCCTTGAAGTCAGCCAACTTAGGACGGAATAAAGTGGAAACTGTGAGCCAAATAAACATCTGTACGAATTAGACAGATTTGAACAGGACAACAATTTTAGAAGCTCACTTTATTCAGGTCATGGCTGTTGAGTAGTATGTCCCAGCAACAGCAAATGACTTATACATCTGTCTTCTTTTTCTAAAGATTATATTATAGATGAAGTATTATTATTACTCATTTTTCTATTCATTTTTTATGTATATAGGGTTCAATATTAGTCGGCTTTTGGATCCTAAAGTTTATTAATTTCTATGTTGGCTTCTACCTTTTTTGTTTTGGGGTAGAGGCTTATTTTGCTTTTTTGTTTTGTTTTTGGTACTAAGAATCGAACTCACAACCTTTGCTTGCCAAGTAAGTTCTTATGCCACTGAGCTAAATCCCCAGCCCCAGCATATAGTTTTTACAGGTAGTTTTCAGTGTTTCTTTCTGTTTTTGAGTTATAAGTTAGACTACTGATTTTTTAATCTATGTTTTACTGGAGTCTTTTTTTCTTACTCTAGCTGAATGTTCATGCTTTCAAATAGCCAGTTATGTGATTAAATGATATGTACATTATTTCCACACATTCTATTTCATGCTTTTCTACTCTTTTTATTATTTCCTTCTTTCTAAAAGTTTTGATTTGTTTTGCTCTTGATTTGCTAGTTTCTTTGCATATTTCATTAAAGGATTTGAATTATCTGTTATTTTTAAGGCAAATATTTCTTTCTAAAATTGTATAATATTGCTTTTTCGGATTCCATGGATTCTTTTATGTTGTGTTTTCATTTTCATAATTTTCAAGGATTTATAAAATTTCTCACTGATCATCCAGGCACAGGTGGTTCAATTTTCATGTATTTGTACATTCTATAAAGTTCTTGTCACATTTGCACCTGTTCAATTGTAAAAGCATGATACAATTTCAATGCTTTTGATCAACTGAGATACTATTTTGTTGGTTTAAGTCTGTGTGACCTGCCTACTAAACCAAATGTACTTCTATTAGTGATTTAAATCTGTCTTTTTAAATATAACAATGTTCCCTTTACCTAATTTGATCATTATGGTTTAGATCAAGAATGATCACACTACCGATGGGATTATAAATAGGCATAGCAATTCTGGAAAATAATGTGAAGATTTCTGTAAAACTAAAAACTGAATACTAAAAACAGAAATACTATATGACTGATCAGTCCCTCTACTTTTTTTTTTGAGATTGTGATTTTTTAAAATTCTATTTTTAAAATAGTAAAAATTCAACAGAACAGGACAGAACGAGGCCAATTGACACAATGCAGTGAAATTGCATTGTAGGATACTGCACAGTAGGATACTGGGATGGTAGTAATAGGTGCTATGGTATAGCTCATTATCTTCACAACAGTTGTCCAGTCAATGAGATACGGTGAAATCAAACCAAAAACAGGATATTATAAAACCACTTGAGAGTATTGAATAGAACAAACAAAACAAAACAGTGAAAACAATCTTTGCCTTCAAACAAAATCTCCTATATTTGCTATATTGCATATGGTCATCCTCCCAATAGATGCTGAGACATCTA